GGTATCCGGATGAATCATCGAAGATCGTTCTGGACACTCTCGAGTCGGTCGATGCGATCGGAAACCCAACCGAGAGAGATCCGACTTTGATGTACATGGCTCTTTAGTTCGAGCGGAGCGTATGAGTTACTTCAGGAATTTCGGTCAACCAACAATCAGAGAACCAGAATCGGGAAGCGAAACGCCGCGAACTGATTCCAGTGATGAGCTCAGACGCTCGAGTCTCTCGTTCCAAGCACAGGGAGAATCAGAAGCTCTTGCCCCCTTCTCCGAGATTTTTCCTCGGCCTATCTACAGGCGGCACGTCTCCTCCATCACGGTTAGTCTCCGATGTGTCCTGGGCAGTGTTGCATCGAACACTTTCGCACTCCTGGGAGCGGGTGCCGGAAAATAGGAAGGAACATTCATCCATCGGCTGCTGTCTTTGTTCGAGCACACTCGCTTTCACACACTCGCATAAGACCCACTTCGATCAGATAGCCGCTGACTCATGCGCTCGCTCCCTCGATCGCCGGTCCGCCTGTTTGCTTCGTTGCGATAATTGAAATTTATGTCTCGCAAAGCTCCCCAGGTACATCGTGTATCTGCTTGCTCTTACCCTTGATCACTATCTGTCTCGGGCGGAATCTCTCGCGTTCAGACAGCGCCCCGAAGCTCCGATGAGTCTTCTGCCCCATCGGTGAGACCTATGGAGTCTCCGGAAGTCCGAATTCGCCTTCTCGGCTTGACGTTCTATCGCTCTCGGTTCTCTTCAGCTCGTTTCTCGAAAGTCGACGATGCCCCGACGCGTCCGTCTTTAGGCAACGGTCTCGATTGGCCATCTGGTAGGCGTGAAGAGAAGGAACGGCTACAAGCTCGACTGTGCGAAGAGATCTCGCTCATAACACCTGGATACTGCCGACGGCTTTGCCTTCGAAGCGGCCGCAGTAAAATCGAGCCCCTGTGTCAGAGCTAGCTACACTGCACCGCGGATTCTGGGCAAATCCACCATCACCCGCGAAGACGGCTTGATATTCATGACCGCGGATCATAAACGTGCAATTAGCTCCGATTGATCAGCGTAGGAAGTCCTCCGCCCGTCGCTCGTTTGTGAAGTCTCTTTGAGAGAGCCTCACTGATCCTCCGAAAAGCCTGCGGCTTCTTCTGACCCGAGAAATATTGTCCGACTCTGAGAACTCCCCTCTCTCCAAAACACAGCTCACTGAGCTTTGAAGTCTTTTCGAAAAACTCGAACGCTCTCCGCTTCGCAGAATCTCCGCGGTTTCGGGAAAATCGGCACAATCGGCGTGTAAATGTCAGATGTCCCCTACTCAGGAGAATGCTCCTTAATCCCGATTAAAAGTTCTCTCCTATCTGGAGACAGGAGCGAAGCAGGTCAGAGCTTGGCTCAACTTCTTTGAACCCTCGAGCTTCGTTCGATTGTTCGACCTCACAGTGCTCGTTAGCATCAGAGAACAGCGTGGAGCACTCATCGCAAAATCATCGCTTATTTTGTTCGCTCAAGTAGTGAAAGAGGCACGCGCGAAAGCACGGTTCTGTTCTCGACAGCCCCCCATGTCAAGCTGAAGGATTCTGCACTGTCATATGCCGGCGTTGGTTCGACTAGCGCCTCCGAAGTGGTCAAGCGGCGACCATTTCTATCGACAGAACGCCCCTGAATTCACTTACTCTTGGGTCGAATCTCGGCATGAGATGTCACGTCGGGTTTTTTCGCTTCCCCGACACAGACTGCATTGCCTCGCGTTTTCATTTCTCGGAGAGAAATCGATGGATAAGCGGAGGGAATGGGGAGAAAGTATATAACTAGGCGAGGCAAGCTTCAATCCTTTGCCTGACGGGGGAAAGCGAATCAAGACCTTGAGTCATCGAGACATACCGCCGGCAGACATTCTTACATCGGATTTTGAAATAATGATACCAGAGCCTTGGAAAGAAGGCGATCCGAACTCCCGACCTAGATTCCATAAGCGAATGCTCTCGATCTCCGTGTCGCTCAAGGTATGTTTGAGCCTTATGATCACGAGACAGTCGTGGAAAAGTTTCGCACCCTTGGATTGCATCACCCTTGGCCCTTGCATGATCCACTGCTCAGTTCTCGGAAACCTTACAGCGCATCGGACTGCGATTGATGTTCCACGGCGGTTTCTGCTTTGTCTCGCTCGCTTGCCTGGGCTGGCCACCGACGAAGAGCTCTCTGTTCGGAGCGTGCCGATCGCACTCGCATTCCCGATCGTGGCAAGAGAATATCGAATGGAACCCCGATCTTCCATGACGATAGACGTATACTCTCGAAAATACAGTCATTGTCGTAAGCTCCTTCGACAATCAACACTTTTGTACGATGCGACCAGCGGTGCAAACGACTCGTGTCGGATAAGGAGGATGCTGTTGCTGTACATGGATTCGTCGAAAGCTTGCTCCATTCTCTTCGGAGCGAAACGATTGCTGATTTCTCCCGAAACGAGAACATGTGTTCAAGCTATCTCCGAAGATCCCACGTTCCTTCTCCAAAGCGAGACTGTGCCGTTTGGAGCAGAGATTGCACAACACGAAAGAGAAGAGCTCTGATGGCGCAAGGGAGCTCTTCCGAACGCAACCGAATACAAAATGCCTCTCTTCTGCGTCTGAGCGATAGCTGGACGACTCCCGCTCTCTTGGTTTTTCCTCAATCTCCGATTCGAGACGCCAGCATCCTCTCGAGCCTGATCCGGGGAGCAGGACCGTTGCAGACCCTCTTTGAGGATTTCTCAAGAGAACAGCCCCAGACCGTCGGATCTGGAAGATCTCGGAAAGCACGCGAGGGAGCAGATGGGAATTTTTCGTGGGCTCAGCTCACTGTGGCAAACACCGAGAACAGCGGGAGAACGGCGGGACATAGCGGCGGGAGAACAACGTTTTCAGAGGTGAGGTCCGAGGCATCCACCGGGTGGTTGATCCCCATGAGATGAGGACTCGCTCGACGTGACGGGGAGGATGTGCCTTGATTACCGTGAACGATGCGCGGGCAGAACACCGCACGGGGACAACACCGGCACCGCTGCGGGCGCTTAGTCGGAAACGGTGATTATTCGTAATTCATATTTATTCTTCGTTGATTCGACTTCGTTGGAGAGACAGGGCAGGAGCTTGAGGACGAAGCGGAGAGACGCGACCGAGAGACTGACTTGGTGAGACCCCGGCAGACAGAGAACGTCAAAAGCACAAAAGCTGAATGAAGATGAAGTGATGTTCTGACGGTGGCTGGTCGGTTCCGTGCCGGTCGGGTGGGGACGGCGAGAAGCAGAGGGTAAAGTGAAAGAGAGCGAGAAGCTTCTTCATTCCCCGCTTGTCACTTCGAGAGAGCCGAGCCCGGCAGCCAAGCGAAACGCTCAGCATCAGATTTCCACCCGGTCTCTCTATATTCCGTCCGCCATCTGTATGGTAATCGACGATGTCTCTTTTTCCGTCGCTCGAAGGGAAACTTAGTGTGACACCTTACCGCTTCCGGGAATCATCGTCTCGTCCAGATACAAAGATCGGAGCTCGACGTTGTCACAGCTCCAGTATCCGAGGAACGAGTTTCCTCCTAAAAATCGTGGGGTCTTCTCCTCGAAGGAACGATTGCCAATCGCCTTTGACAAGTGCATATGCACCCTCCATGTGTGATGTTGTCCAATATGAAAAATGAGAATGTGCTCGTCATCATGTCATCATGCTGCTGCGACGAATGGTTGTCATCAGCTTCCCCTGTCCTCTCCTCTTCCAATCACCCCGAAATATCGCTCTGCTCACACATCCAAAGAGAAATCTGGTGGGAGGAGACGCGATCGCATCAACTAATGACGGCGGTACTCCGAAAGCTTGATGATGATAATTGAAATAGCGACGATGGGGATAATGATGAAGCTGTGAACGAGGAATTCGACCGAAACGATCACACTCAATAAGATCGATGCTGAGGTTCCGATAACCTTCTCCACGGAATCGTAGCACAAGCCATTCCGAAAATCAGGGCGTCCGCAACGATCGGCTCGGGAACTCGAACACTGTTCCGACCTCCTCTTATCCCGAGCCTAATGGAATGCCCAATCTCTATCAGCAGGCGAGCAAGTTGAACTCCGCGAAAGAGTAAGCGAGAGGGTCGACCCGCAGACGATATATCTAGTGGAACGTCCGTTGAGCATTTTTATTCATTCGTAATTATTCGCGCACCGATGCCCGTCCCGAACGGGACCCGATTCTTAGCCGAGTCTAGTGGAGTGATAGGGAGATTTTCGCCCTCGAAGTCAGGAACGTTCGGAGGTACGATCACACGATGAACCTTTGATCCTGCTCTCTCGAGCCGCCGAGCGGAAATACTACGGCGCGGTGATACTCTCATGATTTTATCGAAGAGGACTTTTTCGGAGAATTCCTTCCGGAGGCATCACTTCACTGAACGGCGAACCTCTCGATTAGGAAAATTTAAACTTAATCAGACCACTTTACGTATTTCAGGAGATTCCTGCGGGTTCGAAATGAGATCCGGGGATCCAGCTGACTGAAAATGTTATCTCGATGATCCGCGAGGATAAGATGGGATTGGCTCCCACGTAACTAATGACTCGGAGGGAACGAGACTGAAGAAGGGATTCTCATTTCCTTGACGCTATCCCATCTGATCCTTCTCGGCCCCTTACGTGCCCGTCGTTTGGAAAATCAAACAAGTGGAGAGTCACCGAGCCGGCGAAGCAGCGTGGGGGATCACGGTGAGGATCGGCTTCCGCTTCGCAAAGGCGGTTGGGAAAGTTCCGCCGCCTCCGGAACCCCCGCGGGAACAACGCAGCTTTTCAACAAGATTCAGCTCCTACACACGCTGAGAGTGCGGTAATCGATCAGATCAAGAATCGATCGCTGCTGTTTTTGGCAAGCGTCTCGAGATTCTCCAAAAATAATTCGCTCCCTCCACGGGACTCCGTCAGGACTCGGAGTTCTCAGGGAAGGGAACAGATCTAGGGGAAACGGGGGAAAAGAGAGCTCACCTTTTGAAGTCGACTCATCTGTCCTAAAGCTTGCACATCATGAGTCGCGTGCCGGCCGTCGTGCAAACACATTACGCACAGAGGAATTTTACACATGAGACAGAACATGCTGAAGGAATTGTCCTCGTGCTCGAGACAATTCATCTCCTTGACAGCAGAGATTTTGAATTTAGCTCTCTGTTGCGAGCGACCCTGGATGGCCGAGATGAGTTGATGGTTCGCCAGGGGTCCCCTCGAGGGATGGAACGAGCCGAGGCACGCGTCACAATAGAACACCTCACATTGTTCGCAGAACCACGCAGCTTGCTCGGGATTTTCTTCGCACATTTGGCACTCGATATCGAGTTTTCGTGACTCCGCATAGCGGTCGATGACGTTCGCCAGCGCCCTGTTCTTGCAGAGGTTGCCGGCTCCGTTCTCGTCGAACAGGCAACTCTTATGACAAGTAGGACATGTTATGGCCACCGAGTTGCCGGAAGGTAAAGGGCTGCAGACGACTCCGGAGTCCGTTTCGGACACGAGCGACAGCTGATCGAAATCATCTTCTTGTCCGCTGGCCGGCTGATGGAGTTGCACAGCGCACTTGAGGCACACCGAATGAAAGCAGGGCAGAATGACGGGGTTCACGAATAAGTGTTTGCAGACTGGGCACTTAAGCTCCGACTCCATTGCGAGCTCGACTGGCCGAGGGAGCACAACAGTGTCGGAGACAAGCGATCGAGGCAATGGCAAAAGCTCTCGCAGAAGCAGAAGAAAGAACGACGGTCGAAATAGCGACGAAGCTCATGCAAACACGGACACCGGTTTCGCATTGCACGAAGCGGCGCCTCCTCTGCTTTCTATATGTAGACTGGAGAGGAACTGTCTGTGCTGTAGACTCTTCTGATAGTTTCCCTCCTTCGTCGGTGACACTCTCCCCGAGCCGACCATCTGCTGTGTGTGGTGGTCGGTAGCCGGTCGCTAAGCCGTGCGCACGCGTTTCTCTAAACGAGTGGTGGCTGAATGGTGCGGTGGTTTTCGGACATACGAGCATCATTCACGAAATATAGAAGATGTCGGGGTCCAGAGCGGGAAGTTTAGCTTCCAACTGACTCCGGGAGCTCAGAAGTCGTTCTCCAGCAGCCGAAGAGCACACGGATCGATCGGACCCGCGCTGCTTGAACGCCCGCTCCATCCTTTGGCAAAGCCCTCGACATAAACAAAGATGTCTGCCTCCACTACTCCGTCCGGATAAAGCGACGGCCCAGAGTACTACTGTTGTAGATACGCGAACGCGGTAGTTCGATTCAATCTTATCTGATGTGATTTCCCGAAATCTGCAGCAGTCTTTTGAAGTTCCCGACGGACCTCAGGTAAACAGAAACGTCTAGGGAGTGTCGCGATATGCCGTCTGGCTAATGGGGTGCTCCCGACATCGTCCAGAGGAGGGCGCGCGTGTGACCAGCTGAGAGCTGAAATTTGCCATTGGGCGACCCATAGGTTTTCGGATTCATGCCCTACGAATGAGACAGTATCCCAACCTGATCGATTCGAGGAATTCCCGCGCAGTGCGCGCAGCCAAAAGCCCCGTACCGTGGTTTGTCCTCTAAGAGTTCAAGTCAGCGAGCGGGTGAGCAAGAATATGATCGGTTCGTGATAGCTGTCTGCTCGGGGACTCAGTACGATTTTGGCATTTCCGGTGCTCGAAGCGAGAAATGTGGATTCCCGGCTTCCCGAAGAGATCGGATACGAGTCAGAGTTGTTGCCCATAAATCGTGAGAATTTCGAGACTTTGAAGTTCGATGGCAGAATATCCTTCTGGCACACATCCGAGTCAAGCATCAGTTAGCTCACGCGATATCAAGTCGGTGATGAGATGTGGATCCTTCCGAAGAAATGAGAAAAATGCGATCCCTCGTCGTAGTATCCAGTTTCCACCGATGACGCTCGGAATTCCGAATCTGCGGAGGGCTTGCCAGATTTCTTGGAGAAACGGGGAGGGGGAGTTTTCTTTCGCTTCGGATCTTCAATACCGTCAGTGATCGACTCCCTTTGTAGACCTCGGACAGCTTTGCATTTTCCGCTTCATCTCCGGATATTCCTTAGTCGTCCATCTAGGAGATATTCATAGAATAATTCGCTGAACGACCTCTTCGAAATGCTCAGAGCCACCTAAGTTTTCTGCGCTCCGGAAAGAGAATTTGATGAGTATATCGAGATATAGATAGAAACATTGGTATCGACATCGATCAGAAGAAAATCTACGCCAAATATCCTCGCTCCGCGCAGCCGAGTCATGACCCGCCATTGCCCTGCGGAATCCGACCGGCAGCCACCAATGCGCTTTCACAGTCCACTGAAATATTCGTTCAATGTTTCAGAATGAATTGTATCCAGAGGAGCGTGTGCTTCTCAAAATCCGGTTTCCACGCTCTGAAGCTATCCCGAAATCTCTCCAGTTCTACGTATGATGTAGTTATCGTCGGCGGAGGAGCTGTGGGTTGTGCCACGGCGCGACAGCTGAAGCAGAATCATCCGAAACTGGACATCTGTCTCCTCGAGAAAGAATACGATGCTGGTTCGTGCGAATTTTCCTCCCTCTTCGACCTGCTCTCGGGCCAACATCATACGAGATACCGTGTCCGGGAACCGATACCGTATCCGAGCCGTAACGTGGTATCTCCAGTTTGCCTAGAAAATGAATTCTCCGGAAAGAATGATGGAGTCTTCGCCTCTACGCAAAATCTGTCCCATGGGCGAGACATGATCCCGAATCAACGCAGTCCCGTTGTGCTCACATACATAAATTGACTCCGAATTCTATTACAGCTTTCCATCAGAGCGGGAATAATAGCGGTGTGATCCACGCGGGTATATACTACAAACCCGGGACTTTGAAAGCTCAATTATGCGTAAGGGGTCACAAACTCATGTTGGATTACTGCCGAGAGAAAAACATCGCTCATCGAGTCTGCGGAAAGCTGATCATCGCCACCGACTCTCAACAGCTCGGAGCTCTGGACGACATCTTCGCTCGAGGTGAAACGATTTTCCGGGAATTCCTCTCCGTTGAGAACGTCCTCCCGTCGGACAGTAAGCGAAACGGAAAGCGTCAGTCCTTGGAGTCGTCTGATTTTTTTTCTCATCTTCTCCCATCAGGTCAGGCTAATGGCGCAGAAGGTCTGCAACTACTCGATCAAAAAGGGATTCGCGAAATCGAACCAAAAGCCAGAGGACTCAAGGCGATATGGAGTCCGAACACCGGGATCGTGAGCTACAGGGAGGTCACGAAGCACTACGTCAGAGACTTCACGGAGATCGGCGGCAAGGTCTTCTACGGATTCCGCGTAGCTGCCGTCGAGAAGCATCGCGACGACCTCCTCGTCAAGAGCGATTCATTCGAAGAGGTTCGTGAAAAAAAGGGACCTTCCTTATATGGACACCCGTCACTCGATTCCTGATATATCGTCATCTCAAGGAGCTTTTCTCTTCATTAAGAGCTCATTCATTAAGTCGGTAATTTATTGATTAGCGTCATCGATTTGTCCATTCATTCCCAGATCCGCTGCCGTCGACTGATTTCGTGCGCCGGCCTCTATTCTGATCGGATTTCGGAGCTCACAGGAGGTTCTCCGCTCCCGAAGATCGTTCCATTCCGTGGGGAATACCTGTTGCTGAAGCCGCACAGGAGCGATTTGGTTTCGACGAACATTTATCCCGTACCAGATCCAAACCTCCCGTTTTTAGGGGTTCATTTTACGCCGAGAATAGACGGTAGAGTGATTCTAGGACCTAATGCCGTGCTCGCCTTCGCACGAGAAGGATACAAATGTACAGAAATCAATGTTGTAGAACTGGTCGAATCAATCAATTACGCCGGACTCCAGAAGATGGTAGCTAAGTATTTCATGGCGGGTGTACAGGAGCTGTACAAAGGCTTTGTGTTATCGGCTCAGATCGACGAGTTGAAGAAGTTTATCCCCGAACTCGAACTGAACGATGTCGAACGTGGTCCGGCGGGGGTGCGAGCGCAAGCCCTCGATATCGACGGTGAATTTGTGGACGACTTTGTGTTCGATACGGGCAAAGGAGACTTCAAGGGAAAAGCTTTGCACGTCCGGAACGCCCCGTCTCCCGCGGCTACCTCGAGTCTTGCGATCGCTGAAGTTATCGCCGATAAAGCCAAACATCTGTTCTCGTTATAGGTAGGAAATTAGAGGCATCTTGTAGCTCTGATGAAATTAAAAGTTATACTATTGAGGCGTAGCAATTCTTTTCCATTGTATACTCTCCGCCGAGAGGCGCTGCCAATCGTGGGAGCATCCGGCGAGTCCATCGGAATTTTCACGGTGAATCCAGGACGAGCGCCGTAATGCACAATAGTCTTTGGCGTGGCGTTTCAACGAATAACATCTCTACGACGTTCGCTATCTTAGCTCTAACGATTCACTTTGACGAAACCGGCTTGTTCTAGGCAGGCGGTTCGGCAGCACTGATGATCCACAATAGAACAGCGGACATTTCCGTCGGTATGGAGGCGTACGAAAGCAATTTGTATGTAAGTACAACCACGAAACCACCAGCGACGCTTTCACAAGGCGCCAGCGTGTCGCCAGGATTTTCAGCCCTGACCCAAAACGCTTCCATCATTCGGGATGCGCGCCACTAAATCCTATTCACGAGCGTTTGCCGACCCTTTGACGAAAAGACAAACTGAGCGACTAGAGCAAAGATAAACGCTCCACCCGAAATTCGAAAGTTTCCTTTTGCAAATGTGTTTTTCTTCTGGATGATTCGTTCCGAAACAGCTTTCGGAATCTGCGAGCACGTCCCGAAGTCTTCTGTCGGCGTCACCCATTGCTTATGATCAGAAGTTTAAGCTCTTTCCATGTCCTGAACCGCCGAGACTGCCTCAGTTCTGGGGAAGAAAAACAACTCGAGAACTTCTTTCAAGAGCGACACGTCATATCCAAACTCTACACGAGAGCCCAGGGTGACTCAGCGCGGACAGAAATATCCTTGTGTATTGACATTGTTCCAAACATCCAACATTTCTTGAGAACTGATCTCATTAGAAGTGACTCTTTCTGTAAACAAAAAGTTACAGGGTGCGTTATGTATTGTCACCGGCGGTCTCAGAGTAAAGCCTTGGTGATCCACGAGTTGGAGGCCGGTCTTGTGACGGCAGAAACCAGTCACGTAGACGTCTTCGATGAAGAACAGCGGGGTTCCCAGAGAGGCTTCGTAAAGTCGCCGAGCTGCGTTCAAGCTCATCGTGTAGCTGAATCCTGAGCAATAGGTTGGGAATGTCTCTCCGGGGATCACGTCGTGTGGCACTTCGTACTTCATGGTTTTAACCCGAAGCTCTTCAAGACTCTTCCCGGGTCGGAGAATTTTCTTCACGCGGTTCTGATGACACAACAGGGAATCTTTATAAGGTGTCCGCTTGTGGCGTTCCAACGTTTTGATCAGATTGGGCAAGTGAAGGTAAATATCGTCATCGATTTTCACCGCGTAGTCGGCATTCCGACAGAACGTGACCGCGTACTTGAGTCCCATCACAGATTTGATGCTTAGGTTTTCGAAGCGCTCGAGGAAATCCTCCTGGCAGACATCTCCATAGACGTAGTGCTCTTTGAGAGCTTCGTCCTGAAGGGTCTCGTTCCTCCCATTGGCTAAGAGGAAGACGACGCGGAAATTCAGCGCTTTCTGCAATGATCGCTGAGCCCATGTCTTGCGTATGGCTGCACGTCTTTCGGTGTTTTTGATATGCGTTGCTACGAAAATGAGGAGCTTCAGTTTCCTTGCGTCGAAGTCGTCACACAGCTTCTCAGAGTTCAGGATATAAGAGAAATTGTGCGGGTTCGCCTCGAAACCCCTATGCACGGTCACGTTCCCAGGTAGGAGAGCCCATCCGTCTTGGATATTCGGATCGCCGGTGGAGTCAGTCTCCTTGGACAGCGTATTGTCGTTGAACTTGATCTGGGAGACTGCACGCTGCATGAGTTCACTGCTCGCCGCGAGATCGACTCCAGTCGCATCGTCCATGCGCACCGCCAGGACCACACACGCAGTAACGAATAAAATCCCCGTCAGCGAGAGCATTCCGAGGGGAAGTTTCCAGTGCCATGAGCCCATGCTGTCACATCACTGCCGTCGCCTGCAAGATCGCTTTTTCGAGTCATTTAGAAGGGTTTTATCTCGGCGAATATCATTATCGGTGTGTCACCGTAAACGTGATTCATATTGGGTGCGGAATTCACGCGGATAAACACGCACACACACAAACGCTTGAATAAACACGCTCTTTCGCTGTCGACTTGATCTACCGTCCAGCCACATTCCAACGAAATATCCGTGGAGGAAGGGGGGAAACCGCGGGTGGTAAGCTGTTTACTCTCCTAATGATTCTGTCGGAATGCGTCGCCTTCTTTTTGCAGTCCGATATCAAAGTACGTCAGGACAAGCCCCGAGTTAAGTGGATGGGGGAGAATCTTACTCGACTTGCCTTCTCATCGGTAGCGTACGATTGGGACAGATAGGGAGAGAGCAGGGCGGGACGTACACGGAGAACTTTTCAAATCAGGAGATTGTACTCCTGCTTTGGAATCGGAAGTATATCACAGCGAGTCGACTGATCCTAGTCGAAGATCTCGCATCGAGGAATGATTCGGATCACAGATGCTAATCCCTCGAGGCTATACGAACAACACCAGCAAAAACCGCTACGTCAAGAGCCTTGGAATTGACCATAAGCGAGGTCGATAGCGGCAGAAGCATAAACACCTTGGTACAGTCAACCCCCAGAATTTCTTTCCTCACAGTTCTCCTCCAACGCGCATCTGTCACCGACACCTGTTGCCAGTCTTTCGACAGAATGCCCTGACCGTTGTTCGTCACGTTCGCACTTCTCGACAAGCGAGTGAGGCAAATTCTGATTTCTCAGCCCAGAATCTTTCGCCTATCGATTACCAACTGATCGGCGATACAAACACGAAAGTCGCTGTCCCTGGATGTCGCCGATACCTGGTATGACGACATCGGCGACGCCTGTTGATCGCTTCTCTGGTTTATCTTTGGAAAATTTATCCAACACACTAACGCCTCGGTTCAGCCGATGCGTCCGAATGTCGCAGTCCGCGAGCACGAGAACAACGCACCTCACTTCATTCCGCTGTAGTGATCGATGCGGCCGATTCCTATCCATGACAAACTCCGTGGACTGAAGTCGCTAGGGTGAAGTAGCGCCGCGCCGTTACTTTCGATAACGAAGGAAGGGTCGCCGCGGCTTGCCGCTGTTGGCGGCGCTCACGGGCGAGGGTCTACTGACGTAACGGGTAGCGTAGGTGGAAGATTGAGTTTCACAGGTTTTACTCAAATGCTATTCTTCGATTGTTCCTTTATTTGATGTGCTCAATTTCGTCGAATCCCCATCTCGTGAACGCAGTCGACCGATCGTAGTCAATCTCTCGGACCTCGCCGATGACATTCCTAATCCTCTTTCGAAATTTGGACTCCATCGGGCAGATGCCGCATATTCTCGGCAACTCGGGTCCCAAAAAACAAGCCCTCCGTGGATGCAGATGCTTCCTTCAATAGAGGCGATTGCCGACTGACGAAAGGAAAATCGGAGGCAGGATTCTGCCATGGAATTCGCCATCACGTGCTTCCTGATCCGGAAGTGTCCCGCTCCCGTGTTGTGACGATTCCGTCGGCGGGCTCCTGAGCTTGGGGGCCTGGATTCCAATATAGCCTGTAACCGTAGCCTTTTCGTCTCTGACGAACTTTACATCCTTCGCAAGCATTCTCGCAAAACTCTTCTCTGCATGAGATCCCATTGCAGCACAACCCGCTAAGGAGGAGGGCCATCGAGGCGTTCCTGCTTCTGGGTTTCCGCTGGTAGCCTGAGGAAGAAGCTGGAGCCCATCCATGTTGGTCTGAACCTAGGCGGGAAAGCCCTGAGAAATCTGCGGGATGGGACCCGAGAGGAACGGGACTCGAAACTTTGACTGAAGCCAGCTTGTCTGCGATCAGTAGAGCGAAATCTCAATCGGAGCGAAGAGCGTCTGATGCCAGAACGTTTAATGATTCGGAATTATTTGCCCGACGGAGAAGATCGTTGAGACCAAAAAACGGTCTGTTTGTTAGTTAACGATTCCTGATTCGTTGCTCGCTCGTGTCTAGTTGGCCTGAGCGAGTGAGAAGAGAGCTATGGAGATATCATCAGGGTGAGAGAGGATGTGTCAACCGACAGCAACTGACGGGAATTCCCGTTTTGTCCGAAGACTCCCGCTGCTTTCGACCCTTTTTCCAGGCTTGCGTAGACTTGCTCTGCCACATGAAGAATTGAGACCTGGTGGATCTAATCCTTCCATATCACTGCCGCGGGGGCTCCGATTCCATGTGCTTGTAAGTTGCATACGGAAGCGTGGTGTCCCCCCGAATGATTGTTTTTTATTCCGCACAAGAAGGGTCTCAAAGTCCCAAACCTATTTCCGTAGCTCAAGCCAGACATCGATCTTGAGTTCTAGGGTTGGGCTCGCGAGATGTGTTACCGAACAGGATCTCCGATACACGCATCGATTCCGAGATGTCCGGACTCTGTTCCGGACATTCTTCACCGAATGAGTACTCACTCTGATAATAATATGTATAATTTATTAACGATGATAAAAAGTGCTATTGAATATGTGCGATTTATTCGTAGGGATGAGTCTTGACTCTCAGCCGATGCAGGCTGGATCCCGCTGGCACCGTGAACCGTTCCACGTCATATTGACGGGATGGACGTGAAGGTATGCCCACTAGAGGAGCTTCGAGTTTTCCGTCGTATCAGACAGATTTGTACCATCTCGAGCCAACTGTGATTAGCAAACCGAGCATGCATATAAACATGTAGACTCCGAGGAACCAGATCGAAATGCAGTTTTCGAGGAGCCATGACACAAGCGCGATACCTGGGGGAGGAACTAGCGTCGAATGATTGATTTTCATCGAATTTCCCCATCATTGTGGAGCAGAGCATGATTCAACTGCCCTCGATGATTCTCCCAGAAACCTCAGAACGAATGGAATTATTCCGCGAAACTCACCGGAAGGTATCGCTCCCAGACCATCGATATATCTGTAGGTTTTCCCGCTCTCTCTGGGTTTTACGCTGGTAAGCGCAGTGTAGGCCCTGGTAATTTCCCTGAATTTCACCTCATCGCCGGATTGCTTGTCTGGGTGGTGGATCAGCGCCAGGTCCCGGTAGGCTCGCTTGATTTGGGAAGGCGTCGCCCCGGACGCGAGTCCGAGTTCCCTGTGCGAGTCGGATCTCAGCAGACTTTCTTCGAGAAGAGCAATCTGAATGACAATTCTGTATCTTATGCTTCATTCTTGCCGTCTCGACTTGGAGTGGCGAATTGAATTCGGTTTCCTGACATTGATAAAACTCTGCCGATTGTGAAGACTCGGTGAGGATTGGACTGGACTTCGCAAGAAAACGCATCATATTTCATGAAAAACCGCGCTTATTGACTGCGCTCATTCGCTACCCCCCATAGAGTCCCATTTTGAAGAAGAACCGCAGTTGCGATTAATAACCGCGGTCGCGAAGCTTAGTTAGATCAGACTAGAATCTCCCTCACGGGAGAACCGCTCTGCTAATCGATCCAGACGCCAAAGCACGCAGGATCAAACGTTCCGAAGAACGTTCCCGATGACCGACTGATTGACTGTCCGACCCAACGCGATACAACGAATTTCATCGATTGCCTTGGTTAGGGATCCGGGTTGGGCCTGAAGATCTGGACTTCTCCTCCTAAATGTCTCGCGAGCCCGCCGCGGCATTACGACGAGCTCTTCTATTGGGTACGACAAGAATCGATTCTGCGGAGGGAACTTATCGACGAAATCGTCCAACGGTGACAGGATAGTTAGGAACTGTCCCCCTTCTTTCGGCGAGGATAGCGTATTCAGGTGGTGGCATTTCAGGCCGGTGCTTTCCCCCCAACCCGAGAAACGCTAGATACCACACAGTGTACCTCTCCTCGCCACGGATTCTGAGTTTCCCGAATGGCATTCGTTCAAGAATGAGGTTTTCACGCACGTGCTGCCTCAGATCACTGGAACGATCCATCAATTTTGAGATCCAATCGCTCCATTCACACGGACTTCTTCCCGATATGTCTCTCTCCGAGAATAGCTTGGGTCTCAAAGACCACCCCGTGGACAACGGCCAAATATGTCGCTTGCGATCCGTAGACATCGACAATAATCGGTCGGTAAACGAGCCGGAGCTTATCACGGTTCATCATTCGGGATGAGACACATACCAACACCAAGACTGTGAGAGCGCTGATGACTGTTATCAGCACCAGGATGATCCTCGAGGTCTACCACAACCTCTGCATGAAATCCCTCCGGTATTTTTCGTGAGGATTGTGTGCCATGAGGGCAGCCATTCGTGCGAATCCAGTACTGGCTCCCAGGCTTCTCGAGGATCCACGACAGGAAATTTTTCCCAAATCCGAGAATATCTCCATCACCCTCGGCATTCGCTTCGCCTACCTACCTCATGGAGAATCTACTTTGGAATTCGCCCCGCGGTGCCGAGGCTTTGCTCTCTGTCGAAGACGATTCCTTAGGTAATTCTTAGGGCGGACAAGAGAACAGGTTCTCCGATGTGAAGTTTATGGCTGAGAGCTCTTGCTCGCATGAAAATTTCGCCTGCTGAGAGTGGCTCAACATCCATTGCGTTTCCACAGTGCCAAGAATTCAAAGTCAATATTCGTCGATTCACAGAGGTTGAAGACTTCGTTTGGAGGACGGAGCGCCTCCGAACTCCCGGGGTACCATAGGTTCTCGCAACGAATACGCCGGATGGACCCCTGGGAAATGCAGCCACGGCACTATCGGTTCCTTTCAGGATCGGGAGCTCGATCGGAGAAGTTCTGCTCCAACGGCACCCAAAAAACTGCTCATTTTGAAACTCCATGATTCCTAAGCGAGCTCCGATGGGACTTGAGACAATATTGCGCTAACCTTCATCTACGGATTGAATTCACCACAAATCAGTGAGTGACTCACCTGGAAGACGCATGCAAGAATCGCGATCAAGCCGAAACCGATGAAGGCGATGATTATATTATTTGCCTTGGTCTTGGAAGCGATATCTTCCGACGGGGCGCGTTCGTAGAGACACGGCGGGCGTTGACATTTAAGCTCTGCCTCGCCGGGATTTTCCTTGCTTCTTCGGGACCACAGATAAGAAAAGCACGGAAGTACGCCCATGGCGAGAACTGGCTTCGGCTCAAGAGTGGCGATCTCGTCGTGAGGAGATCTCGTCGTGAGGAGCAGAGTCACGATCAAGACAGAGTCGTTGCAGGATAGACAGAGATCTATTTAGCGCGTGGGCTAGTTGAGCTCGAATCTACCCCGAAGGATGGGGTGATTTCTGCGGAGGACGCTCCGGCACCTTGCTCAGACTGAAGCGGCGTATTCCGAATCTCGTGGCACTCCAGACCTGCTTTCTCATTGCATCGGATTTGCTCTCTCTTCCTGGCGTTCCCCTCTCTATCCTGAGCTATCTCAGCCGAATCCAGGACCGAATCTTGAGTTCCCGCCCCTCCGAACTCATTCGGTCAGTATTTACGAGAAAAAGTATCTCGAGAGGAATCAGCGCTCAATTCAGAGAATTCCTTGAACACATAGATTCAGCCAGAGGGTGCCGCGCCAGGGGAATCATTATTCCCGCGGCCGGCCTCTAAGGACCTCTGCGGACGGCCTATCGACTCCCGATTCCTTAGGAGCTCACTGCGTGGATATACCTAGAGATTCGTTCCATGAATTGGCGAGGAATCCCGGCATTTTTCGAGATCATTCTCTTGAATATTCAGCTTTCTTGGTTTCAAAGCTCCGGGAGCCCACGGGTAGTGACGGTCGCGGAGAGAGGGGGTGCAAGTGAAGAGAGTAGAGCAGCGGCCGAGAACTCACACCGCTAGCTAATCGCGTAGGAGATTTCAAGAAGATTCAGGCGTGCTTCCAAAATACGTGGACTGGCTGCGAGTAAGGGGAAACGAGCTGAGGGGGCGGAATCGAGTGAGCCGAGCGAACGGCTCGAACCGGCTCTCGAAGTACCTTGTGCTTCCGAGTTTTCCGACCGCCAATCCGAGATGCTGATGTTTTTCTGATCTTTGAAATAAAAATAATAGGAGCTCTGAATAAGACGGCAGCATCGTCGCAGCGACGCGGCGATGACGGGTCGCCCCCCGAGGTGGGCAGGATGTCACCATTCATCACATCGATCCGTCAATTCAATATTTCAATATTATTCCCACTTTATTAACCATGTACCAAAAGCTATTTCTCCGCAGGGCCCGAATACCGGAATACCAGTCATCCACAAATACGTTCACCATGGAATCGCTCCTCAACAACGCGAAAATCCCATTTCTCTAATGGGAAAACCGGGAGCATGGGGTAATTTCTGTCTTAGAACTTGCTGAAGATGCTGCGCGTTTTCGATGTGCTCGGTAGCGGTGACAAGTTCTCCATTTTCGTCCGTTTCGACGATGGTTGAATAGCGTCTGTGCTAGACCGTTTGGCCGCCTTTGTGCTAGCCTCGGGTTTATCCACAGAACGAAACACAAAATTCTTCGTTGTCTGTGAACCTTCTTTCTCCTTTGCATTGCCTGCAAAAATAAGTTCCGATCAATCATTTGATCGTCTCCCAATGCTTTGGTGCTCTACTGCGAACTGCGACCAGGAAGAAGAATACTCGGAGTGATCCAGCCTGAATTACTACGGCAATATGAGATGAGAATGTTCATGCGCGAGGGAGACGACTAAAGACAATACATACTTTTGACTTTTTCGGCGATTTTCTGCAGCACGGCATTGTTCATGTTGAGGAAGCCACCGCCTACGACCTTCTTCGGGTTCCCGTCGACATTTCTCTCGGGCACGACGATTTTCAAGGCTTTGTTTGCTTCTTTCAAGACGTTCGGAATCGAGACCTCGCATTCCGAATCCATCTCATAATGCGCTCTCGAGGATTCGGATGTGGCGCTCTTCGCTGAGCCGAAAGCTGAGGTCGCCTCTTCATCTTTCCGCTGTTTTTCTCTTTCGAGTCGACGAGCTTTCCACTTGGCTTCCTCCTCGGTCTCCTCCTCGTGATCGCTGTCATCGGATCCGCGGTCGTTGCCCCCCACGAAATCGTTGCTGAGATTCGTCCATTTGAAGCTACGTTCTCTACCGGGCCCGTCGCTATGCAGATCTCCATCGGCGAGGAGGAGCTCTTTCATCAAACGTATATCTTTACGATCGTCATCGAGCAACTGTTTGAAATGGAGCCGCGTCACCTGTTCCTGGAGTTCTTCCTCGGAGATTCCCGGGTTTTCGGATATCAGCGATTTGAGGAACTTCTTCTTCTCGGCTTCGGTCATGCCGTCGTTTTCGTCCTCCCCGTCGGAGCCCACATCGGATCCTGATAGTTCAGCCTCACCCTCGAAGAAGTCCTCTTCTCTCCTGTTGAACGGACGATTCGACTTAGAAAATGTGTTCGTGACCGAAAAAGAGTGAAATCTTAAGAAGCGAGGATCATGCAAGCTGAATGGGGATTCCATCTCGATTTCTGCCTTCAGAGATCTCATTGAAATAGACCGCGAACTCACTTTTTCCGTCTCCGATCAGGGTCAAGGTCGGCTTCCCCTTCGAGATCATCATCGTCATCGCTATCTTCCGGATCTTCGGCATTGGCCTCCTCGTCATTTTCTTCTTCCTCAGCTTCTTCGTCGACATCATCGACGGCCTCGGGTCGCGAACTTTTGGCCGTGGAGCTCTGGGTGGCGAATTTCCCGGAGCACAGTGCGAGAAGATCGTCATCGACATCCTTTGAGTTGTCGTTGTTCATATCCAAATCGAGATGTAAACTTTTGGGTTTTTTCTTCTGCAGAGGAACTTGCGTCTGGGACAGATGCATGAAAGACGCATCATCTTCTGGAAGAATTATCATGATGGGGTGAGAGGATTTTTGACTTCTAGTTTCTCAAAGAAGGGGTTACATGCGGGAGACTTCGCGCGTGAGCGCCTACCTTCCCCGTCATCCTGGATTTTGAGATCGAGATCATTATCGTCCCCGTCGCTTGCGTCTCCGTCCTCGTCGCTATCCCGGTCAGGATTCTCTGCCTCATCATCGCTGTCCTGAATCAAATTCTTCTTCTTCTTCTGGGACTTTCTTCTCTCGGTCATGTCATCTATGTCGGAGTCTTCACCAATGTCCTCGGGCTCCCCTTCCTCCTCCGGCTCGTCGGCTTCGTCGTCCGCGAGCTCCTCGACATCGGCGCTCTCACGACCGTCTCCGTCTTCGGCTTCGCTCTCCTCGGCTGCTCTGGCAAGCAAGGCCTCCTATCGAGGGAAACGATGATCATTAGACGGGAAGGCAACCTATCCAAGATATTAGGGACATATATGGGATTTAGTCTCACTTCATCATCGAATTCATCGTCCTCCGTCTCGTAATCTTCTTCTTCCTCTTCTTCTCCGGCGTCTTCCCCGAAATTTTGCTTCAGAATCCTCTTGGTTCTCTCTTGTCGGGATCGCTTCCGCTGCTCATCGATCTTCTCCTTGAGGGATGCCTTCAACTCCTTCAACTGAGCTCCCGGCACGGAGTTGTTCGGTTTCTTCGGTGCATCGGGACTCGTCGCGTTGGCATTCTGCATCGAGACAGCTTTCAAGATCAACTGGTCTACGGGAGTCTGTGCCACGAAACTCGATCGGCTAAGCTGAGGAGTGACTTTGGCTGCCGCTTTCAAGATCTCTTCACGGAGTTTGCTCTTGCGTTTCTGTCGTTCCTCTTCCTCGGGTGTCGCTTCAACGCTTTCTGGTTTGACAGCGGGCTCCGTGGATGGGCCTTGCTCTTCCGCGATTTGACTCGCGCTGCTTTTCTTGCTACGACGTCTCGCGAGGAACTCCCGCAACGAGAGCTGCTCGGGCTGTTTGTACGGTAGCGTTATTTCGGGTCCTGAAGCGAGAGGAGCATCAAGTGAAGGGAAACCTTGGCACTTCCTCGGTCGGGCTGCCCCCCGCGGGCTTCCCCCTGACGGAATTCAGATTTTAATGTGGGAAGCAGAGACTCAAAATACCTCTATCGAAGTTCGGCTCGTCATCCTCGTCCATCCGAGCCTCTCGGAGTTCTTCATTCTCTTCTTGATCTGAGTCCGCCTCGTTATCCGACCCGCATTTGGGACTCGACATACCGCTTTCGTCATCACTGGTAGGCGGAGGAGGTGCGTTGGTCTTGACAGGTAGCTGCGGATCCCCCGAAACGGCTGACGGCGCATCTAGCTCTGATGCACCTCCCATGAACGTCGTGTCCATTTCATTCAATTCGGAGTTCTCATTGGGTGGCTCAGGAGACTCCATCCTGGATTCGTCCGATGAATCGCTCTTGTCACTCCCTCGGTCCTCGAGTTCTCCACGACCTGCGGTGCGAGACTGGACTGAGGAGTCCGTCTTCTCTGTACCTTCAATTCGAGACTCGCGATGCGGACTCTCGTCGTCTTCCGCGTTTCCTCGCAAGCCCTCTGTCGGGCTATCCGGCCTGCTCTCCTCGCTCCCATCGCCGGAGCTACCACGAAGGTTCTCGTCAGGAGGGTCTTTGAGATTCTCCGATGGGCTCCCGAGCTCGCTGATTGCTAAACTGATACAGCTGGTTTGAGTCGGACAAAACTGAAAGCGTATTCCTCCTTCAGTTTCACTTGTAATGAGTTTTGTCATTCTGGCGATACCGAAACTCATCCAAAATAAATTAATTTAAAATAAGGACCTGATCCGTGACGGTTTTGTTCGATATGTCTTCTGAGCCTTGCGTTTCGAGCCTCAAGTCGAGAGTTTCCTGCTCTGTTTCGTTAGTCATCCTGGGGAGACGAGCATTATGTCAGGATGGGGAGAATCGAGATTGAAATTTTCTGTTTTTTGTTCCTCTCAAAGAGAAATCCCCAAGAATATCAGAAATATTTTTAATTTATTCAATAGTCAGTCCACTACATCAAATCCAACCACTTTCGGACCTAGTATCCTTCTGGTAATCTTCCCACACCTCCAGATAATCCCGCATGAGCTTTTTCGCGCTCGGCCGCAGCTTGGGATCTTGAGATTTACATTGCTTATTGACATCGAACAGCCAATATCTGAACCAGATCGCGTGTTCTGCCTCTCCCAAAATGAAGTCGCACACATGCGGGGCCTTGAACATGTCGGTCATCTCGTCGTAGCCTTTTCGGTATCCCGCCTCTAGGCGTTGCTCAGGTGCGACGAACTCGCCGTCCAACATCCTCTTCCCGCATCGGACAACACCGTTTTGCTTCCGGGGAAGCGCGTCCATATCGTTCAGCAGCAATCTGCCATCATTAGATACCAAAAACTGTTCGAGGATCTTCGGCAAGCTATTCGAGTCGCACATCACCCTCTCATGACTGTGGAGGAATTTCAAAATCCTAAGATATTGCAAGCACATGGGGAATCGGAATTCCAAAGTGTCGTTTAGTGACGGCATCGCGGAAAACATGTTTCCTCGAGGATGGTATTCGGTGACTATCGAATCGCCGCATGATCCGAGCATACGGACTGTGAACGGCCCATCGAGGAGTTGATGCATCGCGATGTTGTGATGAAAATCTTCTCTGAATTCTTCCGAAGTCAACGTAGACAGGACGACGCGGTAGTCGTTCCACTTCGCCAAAAAAACATTCTTCACTGTGCCTTGGGCAATCTGCTCCACGATCTCTAGCTTCTTGATCTCGCGGCATGTCAGATGCGGGTACTCCGGGCACATCCAGTACTCGCGAAAATCGAAACGTTCGCAAGTAGCCGCCCGCCCTCGAATCAATAGCGCCATCGAGACTACTCCAAAGGCGATTCGTAGGAGAGACATCTCTCCAGAGCTTCTCGCCGATTCGTTGGCTCGAAGTGGTCGGGGGAAATTCCCTGGAGGTTCGAACGCGAATCAGCTGTATTCCGCATCACGCTTCCGCAGACGGCGGGCTTCGCGAAGCTGAAGCCGCGCGTTCCGCGAGGATGAGTTCTTTCTGGCGTCTCACTTCTTCGTCGAAATATTGCAAAGGTTTGTAGTAGGAATGAACGACCTGACTACCCACGAACATCGAAAACATCGAGAGGCAGCCGTAAGCTACTCTGAACGATGTGGAGTAGTAGCGTCTGGCCATCGTTCAGGTCCTGCTCGGCTCCAATGAGGTGTCTTGACTCTCTATTTGGCTGCTTTGGCCATAGCGGCGGCTCTTTCCTCTTCTTCGATTTCGGCTTCCGCGGCCTTGCGCGCGGCACTTCTTGAGTAGGTCTTGTAGAAGTTGACCTTGTTTGGACCGGCTTCCCAGTTGATCATGGAGAACTCCAGAACAGCACCCAGCAGGAAAAATATGGGCTGGAAGCGGTATATTCCGAAAAATTTTTTACCGGGAAGTTTTTTAATGAGTCGAGCCGCCTTCTCGTCGAGAGACATGGACGGGTGAGACCTGAAACGTCAAGCCGATCAGTGGAGAATCTGACTCCCCTCAAGCTCAATCGATCTGGAATCGGATTCGATTCCCTCGCGCGTCGTTCGGGAAAGCAATCGCGGGAAACCTATCGAAAACTCGGGTATCCCCGGATTCCGCTCGAATAAACCGCATAGAATGCTTACCTAGTTCACGAGTCCGCGCGAAAGCCGGCAAAAATGCCCTTGCGTTTCACTCGAACATCCCAACGAGACCGCTGCGCTCTGGCTGTAGGGCCGCTGTATCATATGATGATGAGAGCGCGCCAAACCGCGTCTATCTCGAAAAAGCTCAACGCGAAAAATCACATAGCTCAACAGGGAGCCATCAGACTCACCTTCGGGGGTGCCAACCCAAGAGCGGAGTTACTTGAGAAGGGTGTCGAAGGTACAATATGGCATCGGATCCTACTTTTCGCACAAAATTGAGCCGAAATCCGAGCTCTCGGATCGCCCAGACGCCCTTCGTATCGAAACAAGTTTCTGTTTACATTCGCGGTTGCGCGCTTTTTTAGCGGCTGCTCTCGTTCTCATCAGCATGCATCCATCCTTCCAAGCGCACTGTTACTGCGCGCGTCCCGAAATGACCAGTCCTGAATTTATCGCTGGGAAACGGGGAAGTGCATGATGTGTGACATCCGCCGCGTGAGAATATGAGAATTCGGAGTTCAGCGGCGGAGGTCAAGCTCCATCCGTGCCAGCACCGGGCGGTCGAGGCTTCCCAACCTCGGTGCAGAATATTTGATTCCGACGGATTGATAGATCGAAGTCGTACAATGATGCGAAGTTCTCGACCGCATGAATGACGTCGGCCGACCATCGGGGAAATCGATGCACCAGAGGCACGATCAAATTCAAATGGATCGAATAGGAGGCAAGAAATTCCAGCGCGACGGTTGATCCAAATTCCCACGAGAGAATGTCTCGGCCAGAACTCGATTTAAAGTGTTATTTAGAGAGAAAGAGAAACACGATGGCCTTGTGGTGTGAGCGGCCGCATCGCATGGCCACCTGTTCCCCGAAGAAGGGCCCCGTCGTGGGCGGAATGCCGCGGTGTCAGAGTCTGAATCCGAAGTCTCCCCATGGATATCGGAACAAAGCGAATCGGTGCCCGCAGAGATCACGCGACTTCTACACTCTTCCTGACACCGCCGAGCGAGATCCTCCCGGAGATGGTCATCGTGAAGTCCGGTATGAGCACCCGACTTCCGAAGTTCATCTTCCGATCATCTGGACGAGCTCCTTCCCTTGAACCATTGAGATTGTCGACAATGGAGGGCTCCCTGAGAGGCTTTTCTGGATATTGTTAGGATCAGCGTTCATTCGTAAGGATGATCGGATGATTGCGAAATGATAGGATTCTGCCTAGGCCTAATTGTTCTCAATCACAAAACTAAAATTTGAGGCTCGGTCGCCACTCGAATCGGTGGAATCACGCATGCTTCTCCGAAGCTCAGGATATAGCCGGGGCGGGGTATCATCTCCTCGAGCACCGGAGTCGCTCTGGGAGCGTTCTCTGTCTCGATGGTTTATTCGAGGACTTTTCGCTCCATTCTGTTTGGATATTCAAAATCCAGCCCAAAAAGGGAATCGGGTACAGCATATGTGTGTTTAAAAGAGGGTTTTTCTTCATCCACTCGAGAGTTCTGACGTCGATTCCCGACTCCTTCTGCCGTATCGGAACGAATCCTCACAATCTTTGATTGTCCGATAGTTTTCCTTTCTCCTTCGCTCGATGACTTTCCATCTCGCTCCCTGAAAACGTCCACCATTCGAGTCAGACATTTAGTCGGTCAGTCGGAGTTTGTAGAGCCGGAACGAGCTTCACATGAATCGGCCGCAAGGTCCCTAAGTACATGCGGGGCCCGGTTTTGTGATGCGAAGCCATCGGGGAAGGTGCTCCTCGAGCTCAACAGACCTCTCAAATGCAATTCGATGACATGTGATGGTGTGAAAATACTAAATCTTCATGAGCGCCGTATCTCAAGCGGCTGCATCCGCGAACGCCTCATTGAATTCACTCGCTGTAGGGCGTCTCTCGGATCTCCAGTCGAGGGATTGAATGATCGTTCGCCATATTCTGGCCGTATATATTCCCGGGTCGGCAATAGGTGTCTTCCGATGTCGCCTCAGAACTCGTCCGGCAAGAGTGAGCCTGTCCACATGTTGCAGGTCTTCGAAAGTTTGGTAGGTCACAAGTCCCAAGAGGAAAACGTCACTTTTGAATGTATATTCATGATCCTGGACAACATCGTGAGTATTGATCTTGCGGACATTCTCTTGATACATTTCAGCACCACCGAAATCCGCAATCAAGACGTGCCGGCGATGAAGGTCCCTGAAGAGTAGGTTCTCCGCCTTGATGTCTCGGTGCAAGATGTTCCTGGAGTGAATGTGCTCGAGACCGGAGCATATTTGCTGTAAGAGCAGTCGCTTCTCGTTGAAGGAGAAGAGATTTGCGCCCAGATGATCTTTCAGGGTTCCACCTTGGGCCAGCTCCATGACCAGGAAATACTCGTTGTGGTGTCCTGTTTCGAGAAGTCCTCTGTACTTCACAACATTCCGGTGATCACAAAGCTCCAAGAGACGGGACTCTTCGGTGACGGAAGCACCATTCAGAGCTTTTTTGGCAGCTACGCATTCTGAGTCGAGCGCGCCGTGGTAGACACGTCCGTAGAAGCCCTGCCCGAGAATGGAGCTCTCATCTATCGCTAAACTCATGTTCGCGAAGACTGCCACGATACCGCGCATCACCGAAGAGGAAACCACACGCCGCGCGCGGATCGGTCTGGACGTAGATTTCGCTGGTTTTGGGAAATATTCCTCGGATCATCGATCAGCGTTCTCTTTCCACCGCAGGCTCGAAGATTCTTGCACAAATGTGGCTGACACGCAGCGCGAATCAGATACGAGGATCTGTGTAGCAAATATTGTAGCTTGGCTGAGCGGGAAGCATGTCGTGCGAAGAGAGTCGCGAGAGAAAAATCATTCGTGGATTTTACTGGACGCTGATTCGTTGCAATCATAGGACAGCTTGAGATTCCGTGTAATCTCGGGGTGGATATCTGCGTTCTGATGCATGGGATGCGTACTGCTTTGATGAGAAATTGAGAAATGGATTCGATCGAGAGCTGCGCGATGAAGCGACGCGTCGGGGCAGGCTCCAATGGTTTTCTCGAATATAATCATGAGCTTATCGCTCCCGAATGCTCCGAATCCGAACTTTCAAGGCGAATAGCTCTTTCAAAGCCTCGGATTGAGTGGTCCATAGAGAGGGATACTCAGCGTTGAATCGATCATACGTCGCAAATCATGTTTGTTCACTTATACACAAAGAATTCCGCCATTCGAAGGATCCGATGATTTCTGCCAATTATCCGGACTCCATGAGACTTCGAACAGGTGGAAAGTGCTGCTTCACTCGCTCCTCGTGACGATTCATTGAATTTTCTGCCGTTCCCATCTTGATACGATTCTTGTCTGTGCAGTCTAGCGCTACTCTTGTCTGAGTGACAAGGGATGACTCATTACTCACTGACCACTGGGCACGAAACACGTCGCGAAATTTATTTTCGGCGTTTCTTTTCAGTAAATGCCTTTGACCCGGTTACTCAAAGGATCGAATGGACTCGTCGTGTGTAGTTTTGCCCGTAGAAGAGCTCCCCGGCTCTCGATCTGATAATCTCCGCTGATCATCCAATCTGTAGTGACGGATTCGCCGGACGGATTTTTCAGGTAGCCGTATCCGATGGATTTGTTCAGCGCGAAGGCAAAATCAGCTCTCCGAATGAATCCGACGATTTCGCCGTTGCGATGAATAGTTTCCAGCCCATGAAGCGGCACGTGCCTGCGAAGCGAAGAGGGTAAATTAATTCCTACGACGACGAGCTTTCCCGTGGCGCTCCGCATAAACATACTCCGGTCGCGACCGGCGGCGCCCCTTCCAGGGGTTTCCTTTCGAAAGCCGGGTATACGAATTGATTGCCGAGCCGCGACTCGGAGGCACCGTCGATTTCACAGAAATTGAGCACCGACCGGCTCCCGAATCTTCCGTGACTTGAGGGTGGGAACAATCAGCGCCTCTGCTGTCTGCTCAGGGTGGATTTTCCCCATTCCAGATTCTATTGGTGGAACATGAATCCCTTTCGTGGCGGTGATACTCCGCGAAGACGTTGAAGGATACAACAAGAAACTCACTCGTCCAGCGTGAAGCACGCTATACGTTTCTTCAGGCCTTCCACTTTCTGGCGTTCCAAGACTTCTCTACCTAGGAACGGGGTGGACTCCTTCAGTTTGCACGTGAAGCCGAGCCCGGCTTCGAGCGGAGTGTCGTCGACACGAAGATCAGCGTGCCAATGACGATAACCTGCGAGAGGAGAATATAATTAGACGCCTATTATTCTTATTATTATTAGTTTTGTTTGATATCGCAGGATTACTCAACAACCTCGCGAATCTGCCGCACGTTTGAGAATGTAAAGTGCTGTAAGGGTAGGGCTGTGGAGCAAGAGAGGAAAATCGCGGTCGGCGAATAATCCACGGCCTGTATGTACATGGTGCCTGTATGTATGGGAGGCGATCAATCGCAGGCGATTGATTGAGATCCGAGTCTCGAGTCTCCGGACTGGTATCAAGTGCCATGAGGACTTCTTGTCCTCCAAATGAGTCTACAGAATAGTCGGGAATTCCGCACCAGAGAAATCATCCTCGAGCGCTGGAATTGTGGATGATTCAGATCACTCAACGGAATTCCATCTGAGATCGAACGGCGACTCCACCGACGCAGGAGCTAGAGTCCTACGATCGGGGTACAAGAGAAGTCCGGCCGAAAGCGAGTCTCCTGACTGCATGAACACCCGAGAACCATTTTGACTGCCGGCGTGTTTACTTGAAGCGTCTCACTCTGCCTACAACAAACGTTTACGCTCCGCGACTTTTGCGCCGAGTCACGCCACTAGCTCAAAATGGTTCGACGGTACTTGAGGCTCAATATTGAGATTAGCAATAATTGTCATGCCATTAGGCGACGGTCTCGAGGAGAATTCGAGAAGGAGATATTTTATGAATGTGAGTAAGCATTGGATGGGCTGAGCCATTCCGCGGATGTTCCAGTATCCGACTTCTATTTTTCGGAACCCTTCAGTTCCGAGTCGAAGTGGAACTGAGGGAATGTTCATCGACAGCATCCTGACGCTCAGTTCTCGATCGAGAGGGAAAAGAGAATGTGGCGAGGATGTTGAACAATCAGACGCCGTCTTCAGCGACCTTCGACAATTTTCTGTCGTCACTTCAATCCAGACTTACGGCCACAGTAACAAGGGGATCGTGACCAATCTCTGCCCTGATGCTCATTGGAGGGAACATGAGCCCGCGGCTCGCTCAGAGCACAGCAGCTATCGTTGAGAGCATTATTCGGACCAACGTTCAGGAATGGCCCGATTGCGATCGCAAAACTCTCCGGTCAACAACTACCTAGCACAAGCTCCAGTATCTTATCACTAATCTCTCTGTTTACAGAGCGTACCGTCCTCCGTGGAAGCTTCGATCTGTTGCGTTCATCAACAGAAAGCTTATCGTGTCGTCATGCAAGTCCTAGCTGACCATTGGGGACGAACAGGTTTTCTCAAGAAGAATTTAGTCAGTTTTACCGGAACTTCTCTCGAGTAAAGATGGAATCAGGACAGAATTGAGCGATAGCGTCTGTCGAAACGTCATTCGAACGAGTAGGTCGACAGCGAGATTCCCTCCTTGGCTGGCCTAAACACCACCATCAATCGTGGTCGCCCTGTCCCTCGCGAAACTAATAGGACTTGGTAACGAAGGGAAGCGACACCGTCTCGCGATCTGAGAGGCGAACCGATCGTGTAGCGGCGGATAGATAAGATGAGGACCCCAGAAGCTAAATCGGCAGAGAAATGCTTGGCTGCCGATCGGGCGCTCGATTCGGAATCAAGAGAGCAGAGAATGCGGACACAATTGAAGCTTCGGGAATCTTTGACTCCGGTGACAGAATCAATAATAATAATATGCAATATTAATCTCGCATTGAGAGCTTTTCTCATTTATTTTCCGGAAACTTGTCGGTTGATTTGACACATTTATTCTTAGAAGGGCTTCTCAGTGAGGCGAGAGCCATAACTTGCCATGTCACCGTTCAATGGCCATTTGATGCAAGCGCTACTGGCAAGATAGTTCTTCAATGTCGGCAGGGCTTCCACGCGGTCGATGAAGTCGGTCAAGTTTTTGAAATCCGCGAAGCTCTTCTTGCTGAACATGAGCTGTTGAGCCAAGTACTCGTAGGCGAGGAAATCAACGTACGTAAGACGATCTCCGGCAAAATAAGAACGGTCTCCGAGGAACTTGCTGAGCTCCTTCAGCTTTTCGGGCAGTTGAGCTTCATAGGCATCGCGTTGCTCGGCGAATTTCGGGTTGTAGCAGAGCATGACCCAGGTCCTCTTTACGTCGCCAAGCTGCTGCTCGATGACGTCGACCCGGCGTTTCTCCTCGCACGATTTTCCATCGAGATCGAACTTGCGCGCCAAATAGCGAATGATCGCGGTGCTTTGAGTGAGTTTCACATCACCGTCGATGAGGTACGGCAGGTTCGGGAAGTCGAGGCCGAGCGTGAACTTTTCGTCCAACCAAGCGGAACGGTCAAAGTCGGGTGGAGGTCCGCAGCTGTAGAGCTTTTCCTCGAAATCAACTTCTTTGAAGGCAAGCAGGTACCGGATGGGCTGAGCCAAACCGCGAATGTCCCAATATCCGAGCTTCATTTCGAGTCACTTGAGTTGCAGAACGACAACGCCAGACGAGCAAGTCAGCGATTGACAGTGGAGGCGCCGGCAAAGCTCTTCGATAGAAAGGGAAGACGCCGGACTTTGGCGAGGAGGGAAAGTGGCGGCAGGTCTGAAAGGCGTGGCCCCAGTGCCATGAGTCATGGTTCCGCTTCCATGCGTGAACATGATTCAAATGCGGAATGATCGCAGTCCGCAGCCCGAACTCAGAGATGGGCAACGACGCTCCGTACCGGCCGAGCGGGAAAAGTGAAAAGGAATAATTCTAGGTATCGCGTTTTTCCCCCACTCCGAAGTTGATGTCTTCCGCTCGCAACGGGATAGAACTTCCTTCAGTCCACGTTATCTGTCTCCAATAGCCATTGTTCCTCAACCTTATTCTATCTTGTTGACGATCTGATATCTTCATTTCGATGCCGCTCAAGAAAATTCTTTTGATCCAGCCCCTTCTTGAATGCACGTTGGCTTCTCGTTGTAACGTCCGCTACACGAGGCGATGTCTCCGCGATGAGTCGCTCGAGACATGTGTCGCTTTCCGGGAAAGTTTCCAACTTGGAAACGCTCCCGCTCACATCAACGCAGTTCGTCGGCTTCTTCGGCGGAACTGTTCTGTCAGAAGCTGGGGACACTTCCCGGGCATATGACGACGATTCCCCGCGGAATAACCGAGTTCAGGACCTCGGTAAGCCTTGCTCCCGGGTCATCACGCTCGTAATGGAGCTCCTCTCCAAGGCTCTAGCCCTCAAGCCGAGCTCCAAGATCACAAGATCTTCGTCTCGGAGCTGTGGCTCATCGGAGAAAATATCCGTAGTTCAGCCATGTCGGGCTATCGAACCAGGGTGAGGAGGGCATGCCCCGTTGTCAATCCACAATTCTAAATAATGAGGGAAGCATAGCCGAAGGTGCCCCCTTTCGCGGACATCAGAGTATCCAGGCGGTATTCTAGAAGCACGAGAAAAGGCTAGCGTGATTGAGAACAATCTTCACGGCGGCATGCGTGAGCGGACGTTTCTTGGGAGGTTTCATGTCCGATATTTACATCCGTAGGGATTCGAAGAGTGCGGAAGAGCTTCCGCTCCGAGACCTTGAGACTTGAGAGCATCAACGATTCCGAGAATATCGAACATGCAGCTGGGACATTCAGCTCTTGCTCGGGAGCCCGTTGGCTTGCCGAACGAGATTTCATTCTGTGTATGTCTCGCGCGGCCGTTTACGACGGTATTCAACCGCTTATCGCAAGTCCAGGACGTTGAACAAGACGCGGAGGCAAGCAGTCTCCCAGGTCAGGAAGGCCCTAGATCTCGGAGCCAAGTAGATTTGTGAGTGCTTGGTCTTTTCGGGTAGTAAAACTGTTGCTCTAGTTCCCATCGATGTGAGCTGACTCCACAATGGGAGCCCTAATTGAATCGATTTCGGCGAGTGAAGTGTATTCATTCACTGAAACGTCCCTCATCTATGTTCGATGATCAAGACGCTCTATCAATAGCCTGCGTTTGACAATCAGCTTCTCCTGCACCTGCATCGAGTGCCGAGCGGGCCAGCGTCCCGCTCCCGACGAACATTCTGGAGGCTAGACTCTCGAAGTTGTGAGTGGGGCTGGAATTCCGTAGCATTGTACACGAGAAAGTTCCGGATGGGTTGAGCTTGTGAATTTTCGGACACGCGAGAATCATGGCCGTCTCCTTGGAGGAAACGGACCGTGGAGTCTGCAACAGAACAGAATGCAACTCCTCGAGTCGAGAGAAAGAACAGCATGAGCCGAGTGTCTCGCTTACTAGAGGCGCGTCCGTCTTCCCTCATCGACGAATAGTCATTCGTGGTTGTCGTTCCGCACAATCGAGCAATTCCCCCTCGAAGACCAAAATACGACATGACTCGAAGCATGGGGTTGTTATCGGGAGCGCCTCCCGTTCTAGATGTGAATCATCGAGCTTCCGCTGTTATCATTGAGCCTGAGTGCGTATGATACATTCCTCGGGGAAGATACCAATCCGGTGGGATCTTGACTCGAGTCGACGTGGAAAGAAGTACCAGCGCTGCGGGAAGCTGAATCGCATAGCCTCCCGCACAGAGCGTCATCCTCCAACGGACATGCAGACTTCCGTCGCGTCTTCCATGACCTGGAAGGTCTCGATGCTGAATGATTCTGTATCGAAACAGTGCATCGAGCTGCCGAAAGGAGCCGCTTCGTACAGAAGACTTTCTGTACGTATGTGTGTGGGGCTGCTCGATCCTTCTCTCCCTCAGTCGAGCTCCCAAGGGAAATGCTGTCCAAGCGGAATGCGCAGAATGCCCCGATATTTCTCGACGTTCGCGGACAATCAGGACGAGACGCGCGGTAGTCTCTGGGAGTCTAGGTTCCCGCCTGGCTGATGTCCAGAGGAGTCGTTGGGTTCCCCGAGCGATTTCAGGAGCCGTGATATTCCAGCCGAGCACGTAAGGCGTAGCTTGCCGAATCGCGGACCATTTGGGAGCATTGGATTCAGACCGTGGCGCCGGCGCGGGAGCGTCAGTTCTTATCGGCATTCTCGCTCCTCTGGCAGGAGCGATTCCCACAGCAACTTTGCCGAACCTCGGATGCTGTTGCTCCATGCTGCTGTCCGGAAGATACACGGAAAACACAGTGGACTCCGTTCCCGTGATTGAATTCCCCCCTGAGCGAATTGTTCTCGCAATCGAAGCATCAATTCGCAGTCATCATGCATCCTCAAAGTCAAGGCCCAACGATTATCCGGAGAGAGACATCTAGACTAAAGGATCCAGCGATAAACTCGGTCGGGCTCATTCTTCAACTCTGAGCGATATCATCGCCGGAGATCGGGCTCTGGTGATAAGGATGTTTTCGATGGGAAGAAAATCAATCCGAAATTTTCACACCCAATTCGCGGATCCAATGTGTGTGGGCCCCCCAAGCAAATTTCTATCCGGAAAGACAGACTCGCCGAAATTCTTTCCCACTGTGATGCTTTTTCGCGCGGGTAGCTGATACATAGCTGGCTCGAAGCCGGCGTTCTTCGGACTTACAATTAGTCAGTTTCAACTTTCAATCAGCGATATCTCACGGCTTTGGAAGGTCGACGGAGATCATGCTGCGCGACGCTCGGAGCAACCCAGATCTCATGCGTGCCAAAAATATTATTACGACCGACTCCGAACGTCCACCTGTCCGCTAATTGCCTCGATGCTGATCGTGATGGTTGGACATCAGGAAACGCATGCGATCAAGTCAGTAATCGGGAATGAAGAAAAAGGGGAAGTGAAGAAAACTGCGTGACCTACGAAATGGAATGTGCCGACCTTGAGTCCGAGAGGAGGAGGGCTCTCGAGTCCTGAGTGTATCTCGCTAACGATTAGAACGCTCCAACAAGGTCACGACGGCCCGAAGCGCAATAGAAACGAGGAAGGGAGTCCTGCGGATATCGCGACTCGATTCTGATTAGAAACGCATCCTGGGATCCTTAGAGAGCATCCTGGGAATTCCATGAGGAAAGAGAGCCAAGTACACAGCAAACGTTGACTGTGACGGCGTAGCAGACTTCGGTCCGAAACAGGAGCTTAGTGGATACTTCGAATGAAAGAGGCTCAAATGTTGCTTGATGAGCGAAGAATGCGATGTAGGTATGTGTATTCGCGAGAAATCGAAATTCGCATGTACATGCTCTGGAGCGCTCCCCAGAAATTCATAATGGAGAGACGCGTAAGCAACGAGTCGCAAAAAAAAGCCTCCGTCCGGTGAAGGAAAGCACTGACTATTTCGGCGGCGTTCTCATTTTTCGCATTCAAATATCCTATTCTGATTACGCTTGCGATATAGAGCCCCCCCCCCTCCCTAAGGGTTTCAGGACGCTCCTCAATACCAACTTGTGAGTTCGATTTCACCGCTTAAACTTCGCAATTCGAGGTCATCTACATAAAATACGGGACTCGCTTCAACTCACCTTTTTCCAGAGATAGCGAGTCGATGGCTCTGTACCCCGCATTCCGCAGACCGAATTTTTCACCAGCGCGCATAATAGTTCTGTAAGTCACCGGTGGAGGTAGCGGTGAGAGGAAGAGAGCAATCCCGTGGCAGCTCTCGTAAGTTCAAGCAACGAAAGGGTCATGAGGAGTTGAGCACTCACCTATACACATCGAGTAAACCATCGTAGGGTACATGAAGCTCCCAGCCTAGTTCTCCAACGAAGCTGAGACGCATAGCTCTCACCGAATGGCCGGCGAAATCAATTAATTGGTGGGTAGAGAAAGGAAAAGCTGCGTCACTGAGATCAGCAGAAGTGAGAGCAGAGAGCAGCTCTCGGGACTGAGGGCCCTGGATACTGAGGAGTCCCATGAAGTTCGAATGATCCAACAAGTGGCACCGGAAGTTCTTATCCTCGATCGTCTACGAAGCAATCATACACGATTATAACATTATAACGAATGGAAAAAATCGGCTTATGGATACACAAATCTGAATTGTCATTACTTGTTTTATATGTGTCCAGGCTTGGGTCGCTGACCCTCCCCCGCCGCTATGTAAAAACCAGGTCCGGAAAACGCAGGGTCCGCAGGTGTTTTCCCCGTGCCGCCTCTGACAACGCTGAATGTCAAATCTGCTTCCACGCCTCCCGCCTTGTTCAGCATGCATGTATACACTGTCGACCCTTCTGGGCGATTGACTCTGTTACTACAGATCCAGTCTGCAGCCTCCTGGGCATCGGGACCGTGCAGGAAGTATTTCCCGAAGTAGGACATGTTGAAAATCGCAACATGCTCCCGGCAGGCAAGAGCTTCCTCCCTGATCTGCGTCGAATTATCGCTCTCAGAATTGAGGGATACAATGCATTTTGCTCCCCTCACGATTGGTGAGTGAGAGATGACAATATCTTCGCTGCTTTTCAACGACGAGGATCGCGTACCGTATTGTGCTGTTTCGGGAAATCGAAAGTGTAGTCCATGGCGAGCTTGCCAGCGTATTTGTAGTTCTCGTGGGGCTTGAATCCTTCATTACCGTAGTAGTCGTATTCCCGAAGCTGCGGGAGGCGTTCATTCCATTACGGGAAACTCGATCCAAATCCATTCAGACAGGAAAGTGATATCTCTCCCCGAACTTCTTGGAAATGGAGGAAACTCACCTGGTTGCGCCCGTCGCGTGCAAACCACCCGGGACGTTCGAAGCCGTGTCGCTCTTCATAAACACAGCCCTGATTCAGAAGATCTTCAAATAGAGGATCTTTCCTCATTGGTCTAGCAGCAAGAGGTTCGTCGTGCGGGTAAACAATCGAGTAATTTTTCACGTAAGCCTCGTGAATTCGTTCGCGAAGCCACCGAGCGTTTCTCACGACTTGTGGCGAGAACCGTCTGCGGAGAAATCGGGCGCACTCAGATGGAGAATTTTCGACGGTAGCTAGGACTTCGAAGAGGAGCGGGTGGCCGGGCATGTTCGAGATAAAGTGGCATGTCTCTCACTGACCTTATGTCATAGGCGTACATGTCGAGTTGCGGTCTGCCATCGAGAACCCAGTCCGCCAATTCGCGACCCACACCCCCGCTGCCGTTCATACCGAGAGAGTTCATCCCGCAACCGTGGAAAAAGCCTCTCACATTGATATCTTCGCCCAACAGAGGCTTGTGGTCGGCGGTGAACGATTCTAGAATACATCGCCTCATGTTTGCCCGATGAGAATTTCGCGCGGAGACTATTGACTCCCCAGGAGGCATCCGGTGGGAAATATTCAGGGGTCACACATTCACCTGGTCCGCAAATCGTTGATTTGATCCCGATTTCCGAGAGAGTCGGACAACGCTGGACGGCGTGCTTCAGGTGGATGTCGAAAACGTCCATATCCAAGTCGAACAACCCGAAAGCGAAGTCGTCATCCATCTGCGAGCATAAAACAGGAGTGCCGAAGCTCCATCGGGAAAGAATCCGGTTCAATACGATCTCGAATGGGAGTGATTAGCAAGAAGTAATGAGTTCGAGCCGCCTAAAACTGATCTCGTCGTGTTTTGGTCGAAAAATTACTCTTATCATGATCAGAGCCTATTCACCTTATCGACGAAGATTGGATTGGATTCATATCCTCCGAGGGCAATACTATCCCCTTGTATGCGGAAATACAGCGAAAGATCGTGATCTCTGACGTTGGGCATATTCGCGATGCCGGGGATGGAGTTCGTCACGACATAGGCGTGCTTCAGCGCTGACAAGGGAACGTCGCTTCCAACCATCGCTCCGATCTTCGGGGCCCAAACCCCGGTGCAGTTTACAACCCTCGAAGTCGATATTGTGCCGAAGGGAGTCGTCACGCCTGCGACTCTCTTCACTCCGAAGTCGTCAACCTTGGTTTCAATGTCTGCATTGGAGAATATTCTCGACTTCATTGGCAATTTTCTGAATATCCCGTCAGAGAGGCGCGGGTCGACGATGCGAGGTATCTTGTACTTGAGAGAAAAGAACTAACCGATAACGGAACAGTGTTCTCTGACGACTGCACCGTGATTTGTCGCAACTTTGGTGAGAGCCGCACAGTAGTTCGACGGATCTACGGAGCCGTCGCCGGGGGAATAGAGGGTGCCGTAGACATCGTCCACGTTCATCAGAGGAAAGAGTTTCTTCGTTTCTGCTGGGGTCAGAACGTGAGATTCGATCCCGAAGAGTTTTCCGATCTGTGGAGATGAGTCCGTCAGGCTCCGCTTTGTCGAACTCTCCCTCCTTCGACGCGACGGATTTTGTGATGGTCACAGATGCGTGTTCCGTAAAACTTACCGTCATCAGTCGCTTATACTCTTCGAGACGTTGTCTGTGATTCGCAACGAAGAGCCCCCCATTGTTTATCCATCCTGAGCTCAGACCGCTCTCCTGCGAAAACGAACGGCTCTCTCAACTCATTGCTCGATCTATGCCATCGCTCATTCGTTCCGAATTCTCCTATCCACTCCTCCTGTGCTGCTTCTCAACAAGTCGCTGACGAGCGCCGAATTGTTATATTCCTCTTCCTCGATAAATCGATGGAATCACGAACTCCGGGAATACTTATAGGCTGAGTGCGTTGAGCTCGCGACCGAACTCGCTTCTTCGCCCTGCTATCGGACCCGTATCGGTTATCAGCTCCGGGAGATACGGCAAGCCGATTGCGATGATCCACTCAGCGGCTCGTGGAGCAAGGCCTGCACGATTTTCCCGCTCCCCGGGGTGTCTCCCAAGGCCGTTCTCTGACGCAACTTGGAAGCTCCGAATCGAAGTTGTGCGATTGACGAACGAGAGGTTCGGGGACCGGGGAGAAGTGCGCGGGCTTCTCGCCGAGTACTCATCGCCTCACCTCATGCGTTCCCGACCCCTCTCACGATCCCGTAGAGTCCTATGCTCTCTCTCTGTCTCTCAGGAGAGTCTGCTCCCGCTCTACAGATATCCGTCCGGTCGGGATCCCATGCTTCCGAACGCACTGAGCGTCAGTCAGCGTGTCGGCGCCTCCACCCGTTCGACGGGGAGGCTATAAAGCAGGGCGTTTCAACGAGCTGCTGCACTTAAAATTTATCTCGAAGTGAGACACCAATTGGACGAGCTATGCTTACCTTTTCGAGAACGTCCTTGAGCAAATATCTGGTGTGATTGAGAATCTGGATGTCAGTGTCGCTGGGTCGTAGTCTCCACACAAGTCCAGCTGTGTGCCAAGTAGTCCCCGCAGTGAGACGATCTTTCTCGACGAGCACAGCGCGACAACCGCGTTTGGCAAGATGGTACAGCGTGGAACACCCGATAACGCCACCGCCTGTAAGTCGATTCCACCGGCACGATTTTCACATTGCTCGCTTGGTGAGCCTCGGCGAACTCCTCGACTCTGAACGCCGTATACATCGAAACTCACCGATGACGACGGCCTCGGCATTTTGCGGCACGTCCGTCGATGCGAACCTCTTGGAGTATATCGAGCCCGGTCGACGACACAGTGTTCTTCTGCCAGCGCGGAGCATGCTGATTAGCTCGGCCTGTCCTTGCTAGACGGCCTTCGTCACTTTCGCGTTGTGCTGGCACGCATCGACGGAGTACGTGAGTGACGTGATATTCCTACGGTGACGCTCTCCACCGTAGAGAGGGGACAGTCCTCGACAACGAGTGGAAGAAGGAGAAGATACAGCTTGCAGTTGTTCCCTCCCACTCTAGGCGATCCACTTCCCAAACCTCCGATCAGGTCTCAGGTCGCAGGTGAACTTGCCGACCGATCGGCCCAGGCAGCCCAATGAGAATCTGCACCCGTAGTCCCCTACGGCTAGGGTTTTTCCCGGAGGAATCTGTGTGGAGACTCGAGGATCTTCGGACTTTCCTCCGAGGATCCGATCTTCGTATGATAGAGGGTTGAGAAAGAGTCGGAGTTCGAATAAATACGAGTTTTATTCTCGGCTCAGGGATGACCTTTCCGTCCTGCCTGTGCTCCTCCTACAATTAGATTTTCTCCAAACTATTTTATATTCACATCGGGTATGGCACTGGGAGAAATCGTATTTGAAACCATTCATGGAGCACTCGCTGTATTGCTCGTCGGTTCTCTTTCTGTCGTTGGCGGAGACTTCACATTGCAATTTTCATCTGTAGAAACATTGTAATGCTGCTCAAGTTTATTCCACACGACATTGCACATGTCTCTGACCAAAGCTTTCTCCTTGTCGCTCATAGGATCTTTCTCAAGCTGCTCGTGAAGCTCTAAGACTTTGAAGGCGTCGGCGACGTTGTCTGCGATGCTCCTCCGTTGGGTCGCTGTCTGAGTGATCGGGCTCTGTGCGGATTCCGTCTCGGAGGATTCGTTGGCCGCCGCATCGACTTGTAGGCTCGGTGTTGCTTCCAGCAGATCGGGTTTGGCTGTAGGTGTCACTTGATCCCGTGCCCCCGAAACATTGCTGAAAAGAAGGGGCAATCTTGTCGAATTTGAATTTTTCTTCCTCGATTCACGCTGGAGAAGCTCGTGAGCACCGTCAAGCTCACCTCATGATGTCTCTCTGCCGGCTTTCGAGCTTGCTCAATTTATCATGGTACGAGTGCACTTCATGACTGAGAATCGATGCGGTATATCTCCCGAATCTCCGCCATTCTCCCATGAGCTTTTGTCCTCTTTCTCGCTCGTCGTCCAAGAAGCAGCACATGTTGCGGAGCTCTTCATTTTCTGCGGTGAGCTTGGAGTTCCACTGCGGAAATTGGAGAAACATGAGCCTCATGCCGGTCGGGGACGATCGATCTAAGCCCTGGATCTTCCCGATATGGCCTCTGGCAGTCTCGACTAACCTCTTTCAGCTGCATTATGTCTTGACGCTGCTGGTCGACCAATCTAGCCATCTCACGCATCTTCGAATTGTACTCGACAACTAGGTGGAAATGCTGTGTTTCGACTCTCTCGAGCCATCCCAAGATTTCCCGGGGTCCCTGCAGAAATCACGTTCCGAATTATCAGTATCACCATTCCTTACAGTTTTAATCATATCTCCCTTAAAATCTCGGTCTTCGATCTTTTTTCGCCGAGAGTTTTCCCGATCGATAATCCCCTATGCCTGAAAAGGTATATCGATACGAGTTCATTCGCTCGATTGAGGCAGATTTCGACCAGATGCCAATCGCTTCCACTTTCGCATGGACCCGCCTTGGTGTTCTTAGCGCGCAGGACGATGCCGACGTACCACAATTTGGAATCAAATCGTGCCACAATCATCTGTTCTCTCTGATCGGGAGAAGCTACGGACTGTTTGTTCGCCGTCGCGCTATGGCCCTTCGGTCGGACGTTCTACGATGTTACAAAACACTTCTAAGGTCTTCGAAGAACGTTTTCAAGGATGATTCGAACATACAAGCCAAAGCCCGCGAAGAGATCCGGAAGGGCTTCGTGAAGAACCGGGACGTGACGAGCCCCGCCGAAGTGACTAAGTTGCTCAAGTTCGGCGACGCAGTGAGAACAGAGATGGAACAGACGGTTTTCAGAGTCGAGAAGAATGAAGAGTCGGGTCGGTATGGACTCAAGATCGAGGAACGTCATCTGAGAGATAATACGGAGTATCCCCCTCCGCCGAGAGAGGGCCCCGGTAGCAAGCCACTTCCAAACGGTTGTTGTGGCGGTTATTGTAAAGAAGCCTCAACTGGTTAATTTAGGATTGGATTGAACTACAATAAATTATAGAAACCGACGGCTTGTGCCGCTTCTTTTCCCCATTCCGTGGAGCTATACATCGAGTGGAGAGAGCTTGTCACGGAAGAGTCGATCATTCGTCGATGCCTGCTAGCATCGGAGCGTTACGTCGTGTCACGCTTCGTAGTTCGCATAAGGAAGAGGCAGGGCAGTCTTCGTAACTTCATACTCGACTTCCTCTGTGATTTCATTGAAGAATTTACAACGCCGTACCGTAACCTACATAACTGGTGGTCTCACCCGTTGCAGGAGCTCCTCATTCGAGGGCCGGCCTCTAGGATGATGATTTCCTGTGGCCATAGTCTCGAAAGATCAACTTCACATGCTGGATGCCCTATTCCGGCGTTCGTCACGCTTCAAATCTTCTTCAGATATTCCTCTTAGTTGATGCGATTATCGGTTTTCACTACGCACACACTCAGATCCACCGTTCAACGGGTTTTCGGTCATTGGCACACCAGTGGTACTTCTGACGGAGTCTTCTGACGGGCCAGGTGGTTGCCAGACTTCTGAGCTTCTGCATGGGGCGATGCGCGTTTGAGCGGTCGGGTTGCGACGTGCTCCCGGATTCACTGGAGGAGAGCATCGGAGAAATCTTCGAGCTTCGACATCGAAAAGCACCACCAAAGTATATATGTTCGCTCTGGGATCATTCATCCATTGTGGAGACACGACTCGCGAGCCGGCCAGGGCTGAAATTCCGAGTCACAATTTTTGATTCGCTCACGAGGGGCTGAATGGTCGTAGACGAAGTCGACGGTCCCAAACAAAGTCAATACATTCGCTTGATGTGTTCACGATGCATATTTATTTATACGCTTCCGGAATCTTCCGGCTTGGAACATCCATCCTTGAATTCCCCATTGTTCTGAGACTGGTTCATTCTGTCGCTTCTACTGATTCGAAGGCTCACACAAGGGGAACAGGAAATAACGGAAATTACAGAGCATGATAGTTAGAAAACAATCAAGGCACTACATCGGACGGCGGCTCTCCGCTCGGTGGTGTACTCGACGCCGGAGTGGGAGATGTCGTCAGCTTGGCGAGTTTGTTCTCCGTTTTCAATAGTTTCGCCATCTTATAGGCTGGATTGATTGGAGGTTGCCCCGGGTCGTGGTAGACGTAATCGGGATCCAGCTGATATGTCCGGTCCGCATCCATTGGGTGTCCGTCCAGATTCCCGCAGACAACGAAATTCACGATTCGACGATTGGCTTCAGGCATCGTTTCGAGGAAATCTGGAAACCAATTCGTACGGCTGAGGATTCACGGAATCTTCGATGGGTGATCGTTTGCACGCGGCGAGCGATGTGCTCCCGCGTGCGTATGCTCGGATAACCTCTCACCCCAGTGTCCATCGAGCAACGGATTATTCATGTGAGGGACGTAATCATCCGGAGGGCAATAGTCCAGGCAGACAGCGAAAGCCTCTATGGACGAGTTTCTGGACGATGACGGTTTAGCTATGACCACGCGTTTGAAGAACAGCTCAAGTTTCGAAGTCAGAAGGGCGACGTCACGACCTCTGAATATTTTCGCAACCATATTCCCGTGGGGTTTCAAAACATGGGTTGTGATGTTCAGAGCCTACAGGAATAATAATCGAATCATGAGCTAGAAGAACGCCGGGATCAAATTCATCGAGGACGTCCGAATCGGTTCGGAATAATCCGCGGTTGTCACAGACTTGGAGAGGGAATTTTCTCTATGGAGCAGCACTCACTGCGATGAGGAGCTGTCCTTGTATGTACTCGTCCATATCGTGGAATCCAGTCACATCAGGGGCTCCGTCACAAACTACAAGATCGGCTTTCTCCCCCTCGAATTGCTGGACGATCTGCTGCGCGGTGGCTAACTTCGTGATATCGCCCTGAATTTGGAAAACTCCTTCGAGAGGTGCCATCTCCTGGAGGTCCACCGCGACGATCTTGACTTCATGCTCGTTGTGCGCATTCCCCTTGCGGAGTTTTCTGCTCAACACCTGACTCCAGGAGCCCGGTGCTGCACACAGATCCACAACACGTTTGACACCTGCCAATCCAAATCGAATATTAGATCAGTCTCTGAAGGGAAATGGAGCACTCCCGATGAGAGACTCTAGCTCTGCCGAACCTATCGATTGATATCCCCGCGCTTCACTCCCGCTCAATTTACCCTGGGGAGCCCACCTTCGAAAATGTTGAAGTGTTCATTTATTTGTAGAAGTTTGAAGGCGCTCCGCGCTCGCCAACCTTCCTCTTTGGCAAGCCGGTAGTACACATCACGCTTGTCTTTGGCCGCTCGGCCCATACTGAAGAATTATGACGTCTTGAGCTGGGGCCCGGTTTCTCTGTACGGGGCTCACTGCAACGCCAGCGGGACGAGCGGGAATTTGAACTCTTGCTCGATTATGAATGTTCTCAGACAAGAATTTGACGGTGAATGGAACCGATCTCAGAAGTTGAATCCGGTCGCCTGAACGGAGAACTCGCGCGATAAATGATTGGCTCCCCCTCCGAGCACACTTCGGAACTCACGACAGTCGTAGCAGGCGATTCGGTCGAACAATTGTTGCTGATGATCTTTGCTGTAGAATTCAGCGACTCCTCGGCGGAATTAGGGTGCCATTCGATCTTTTCATATCCCGACCTCCTTCCGGTCCCATACGGGCTTCCGGAGTCCCTACAGTCTAAACCACGAAGAATTATACCAGATGAAGCGGGACCACATAGCGGGACCGGGAATTTCATCATCCTTGTTAGTCGTCTCCTCGTACACAGATTCAGAGAATCATCGAGACTCTCGGGAGTCTTGACGAGGCGTCTCGATTAGGTCGAGCCTGATCTCCCCGTGTTTATCGGCGTAAGAGTCGCACATCTGCGGTTCTGCTCGAACTTGGCTGATTCCCTCTTCCTCACGGAATGGGACGTATAAACGGGAGAAAACGCGACTGTCGGGGCACGCGGCATCTTTCCGATCTCGTGCTTTCCTCTGGACGCCTTTTTCCGCCTTCCTAGCTACAGGCGGGTATCCTGCAAGAATTGCATGCCCATTAGCGTCTCAAAATCGCTCTGATCCACCGCGACCTGGCTGAGCGCATGAGCGCATTTGAGTCCTCGAAAGATGTCCACGTTGTCGTCCAATAGAATGCTCTGCATTGGAGAGATTCGGAATCTATTCATATCGGCTGCTCGATGCCGAAGGAGTTGAGCTATGTCTTTCGAAGAAATGGGGAGACCTAGCGATCCATGATCCAGTCTGGACTGACTGACTGACTGACTGACTGACTGACTGACTGACAAGACCTCCGAAAGAGGCATTGGCTCATTGGCTATGTACTTGCTCGATTCTCGGCGCTCGTTCGCCTCCCACGGGACTCGACAATTCGGAGCTCAATAATAATCGTTGTCTAAAGAATTGGGCATCTGCGCTCGCAGCCACGGCCTGTTTCCCTTCTCCGTCGTGGACCTCAACTCCGAAAGTCACCGCTGTAGGCTGGTATCTTGACAGAAGAATTCCGCTGAGCTCTTGAGGACTCGTGTCCCCGTCGAGGAGCCCTTTCGTGCTATCGAGCATGACACGGAGCGATCGCCATGTCTTCATTCCGGGATCTGAAGCCCGATATCCCGATCGGGTATTTGTAGGTATCCTATATCGCTTCATGCAGCGAACTGCATGAGGCGTCTGACTTTCACTTTTCAATGTGAGAGGATGTACCTCCGGGACTCACGGTGAGGCAAGAATTCGTAATGGGCCTGGAAGGAAAACCCTTGTATGTGAACATGGAGCTGGGGGGAGAAGAAATATATGAGCGCTCGGCGAGGCAGCTCAGCGCCCCCGTGGTCTGAGATCGGATGAGTCCCTGTCTCGGGTCACGAACGCCCCCGGTGATCCACGGCGCGGACAAGGGCGCACATGGACCGTTCCATGATGGGATCGGAATCATCCGTTGGAAAACAACTCATCCAAGAAATCGGCTCAGCCAGGGGATGACTCGAGGGAATCATTTGAGTTTCGGCTATCAGGACGAAATGAGCTCGAGTAGGTACCTCGAAGAAGACGCGACAATAGAGCCGTGAGCTTAGGGGAGTGGGCCGAGATCGATACTCAGGTCCGGGAAAATCGTTATCAATCGTGTACCCGAACCCCGCGTCGAGCGCGCGTTCCTTACTATCATATCCGACTGATGGCTTGTGCAGCACCCTCGAATGAGGTACCAACCTTCGCAACACACAGATCTAGTATGAGAAAATGTAAATAGGACTGTGAATTTCTTGCGGTGAAGTATCGCCGAAATCGTGGCGCGTCGCATGGGAAATCAGGTGAATTTGCCGCGCTACCCGGGATCCCGCGGAAAAACACCGAGTCTCCCCTCGAGGAGCGGATTGAGCTCACGGTATGGTCGCTGATACTCTGCAGTACCGTTTCCGGTCGCAAGGCTCGACGCTGCTGCTACTCCGAGCTCGTGGTCAGAATCAGATGATTCTGATGTCTCGCAGATTCTCTGGAAGTCGGAGCGAATTCGGTTCCGCCGACATACTCAGATGGCTATCCCGCATTAATCTCATCAGAAGGCTGACTCTCGACTCAGAGTTGTGTCTCTGTGCGTTGTCCAACGGAATCGAGATGCGACTAGCGTATGAGGCGAGAAAGTATTCGCGGGAAGAGCGGGAACCGCCAGAGCAGCCTGAAATCGTGGCTCCACGAATTCCTCGATCGTCGCGAAGGATTCATAGCTTCATCGATGACACACCAACCGTCCCATCCGAGGTGGAATACCTCTCCGTGTGTTTTGGAGAGGTCGAGCAGCTTCAAGGGCGCGGCGCAGTCTCCAAGCCGGGCGATACCGTTCTCGCTTGTCGACTTGTCCACCTCTCCTAGGTCGCGCTAACCGGCGTGACCCACAAACGTTCTCAAAATATCTGACTCATAACCTCTTTCGGAGGCCTTGTCCACGACAGCTCGGCGTTGCGTCAACCTGGTGTTTCCCAGACCCTGCTCGCGACCTGCGAGATAAATACGGAGTAATAGACTCATAACGGACTGATCATAGAAATGACGAGCGTCAGCCCGGTCGCCCCCGTGTATCACTCTTATCACATCAAATCGCATCATACACAGAGACAGAGGCTGGAATTCGTTGAATCAATGTGTTGACCGCCTCCGGTCGCTTTTGTCTCCAGCAAAGATCATCGACAGCATCTCCTCCTCCTCCTATCAACAGATTCCGTTTTTGTCAAATTTTACCCCGCGTTCTTTTTGTACGGTTGCCCCTGGCGAGCTTTCTACGTGTCATTGTGCTCTAGCTCAAGCATAAGAGCAATCGTACAGGGAGAACGCTGAACGACCGCGCAAGTCGAGTTCCATAGCGAGCAGCAAGCACCCTACCACTAGCAGCTCGCTCGCTTTCTGGAAACATTATTGTCACCCATCGACGACGAGCGTGGTCGTATGCCCCGAGACATCATCTCTGCTGCGGATCCGAACAAGTGAATCTACCAAGTGGTGTCTCGTAGCTCTGATCGGTTGATGATTTCGTGTGGAATCCGAGTCCGTAAGCTAGGTCGCGATGCTGATCCCCTTTAACGAAAAGAACCAGGTGGGAACATATCAATTCTGTGCTATGACGCAGTAAGTCATATTGTTATAAGTGAGCTAGCGTTTTTCGTGTGTCACAAATCGTGCAAATCTCTTGTCGGAAACTCGCTTTGCAAGCGTCACTCCTGCAACAGGCTCTCCCGACCTTTCGAAGCTTATTTCGTTCAGTGAATCGAAATATATTGCGTCGTGTTTTCGTTTGGATTACGGGACCTGCCGTGCGCATGGATTGGGAAAGAGTCCCGTCGAAGTGCTCGTTTGCGAAAAACGCATGCTCCTGAGAATCGATCGGTAGCGAGACGTACGGACGATTTCTTCGATGTAATGTGGCCTCTATTCCCGGATCCAGGCTCAAAGAGATGTTCTCGATGTGGATCGCGGCCCAGAGGAGGACTTGGCTAATCACCTTCAGAGGCGTCGTGCGAGATATCGTCGAATGATTCCCCCCGTCTTGAACGCTATGGAGCGCCTCCGCGAACTTGAAACAAAACTCGCCGTGAGCAAAGACCTGCTGGTTAGGTGAGTTGACAAAACGTTCGACCGAGCGACGGTATAGTTGATCTCTCGCCGACTATCGGGCCGCCGGGATGGATTCGCCGAGGAAGAATCAATTATACGATACGAGTTGAGCGTTTCCGGGTGCGCTGAACTCGTCGCTGTCGAAAAGCTTAGGATGCAATTCTTCGTGAAGCCGATCGCTAAGGCAGGATCGTACTTCCAGTTATCGCTCGAATGAGCCGACTGGGACTGCCGTCCATAGATTCTTCGACGACACATTGAGTCCGGGAGGCCGTTTCTATTTCGAAGTCGAAGTCGTCAACATCGTTGAGGGAGGACAAATTGTTATTGGTTTGATGCCTTTCCACGACAATGCCCGCGGCTTGACGCCGATAGGATCGACGCGGAATTCCATAGGACTGAATCTCAATGGAGGAGTGTAAGTTCAGAAATATGCCCATATATCTCCGGAACATACGGTTGCTGTCCCGAAATCTTCTGAGCTCTGAATCACTGCAGCTGCTGTTCGGGCAGCTCCGAAAATCAAGTTGGATAACTATGACTCGTTTTCAGACTGTTCCACAGCCCGGAAAGTTTTCATTACGGTCCGCGTTGCCGAAATCGTGATATCGTCGGAGTCGGAGTGAGATTCACTCCCAAACAAGGCAACAACGTAACAGTATTTTTCACTCACAACGGGGTGGAATTCGGTGAGTGCGCCTCCGGTTCCAGACTTTAGGCAGCGTCGATTCCTTCGTCAGAAGAACCGAGGGGTTCAGAGATGAATGAAGAAAAATCTCAGATATGTCTCCCCTGCAGGCAGCCGCAGTCTCGTCCTCAGTGGTCAGCTTTTCGTGCCCGCCGTTAGCTTGAACTCTCCCGGAGAACGCGTCCGATTTCGATTTGATGCGGTGTGGCCTCGCATGAGTCACAGTCTCGAAGAAGACATGCAGTGCGACCACCTCGACGACGCCTGGGCTCGTTTGAGTGACGTGATCCTCAACGGGGATGTGAGTGATGCTCGAAATAGCCTCCCATGTTTGAGGAAACGTCCCGGAAGACCGAGAAACGCGATATATCCGCTAGGTAGTCGCGAGCCTCGCCGTGATTTTCGAGATAATCTCGATCCCGTTCGCAGGTCATCGAATACGCCGGCTCCGGGGCGACTCATCAGGACGTTGGCTTCGCGCAGGCTGCTCAGCCACTTTCCCCCTCGGCACATTACTTTGAACTAGAAATCTTGGAAGCGGGGGAGGGCTGTTTCATCGCCATCGGAGTCGCTCATAAACAATATTCCATCAAACAGCACCCAGGATGGAGAAAAGGCTCAATCGCATATCATGCCGATGACGGCCAGATTTTCATAGGTACGTGGAGCCGAGACGGAACCCATTCCGAATCTCCTTTCATTTGGGAGGCATTCCATCGTCTCCTCTAGAGCTCCAGCAGGCGAGGCCTTTAATGTTTTGAATGTTTCAGAAAATGGCCAAGGGGAAGATCGAGGCCCTGTGTGTGAGAAAGGTGATCGCATGGGCTGCGGGATCCTATTCCCGATAAACCTAGAAGGAGCCGGATTAGCGGCATTTGAGGATTCGTTGGCCGACCGTTCCGCGGTTCCGGAGAGGAAACAGTTGAATGATCAGTGCGTGTCTCAGAGTTTTAATTTTTTCTCTTCCCGGGCGGAGAACTCACTAGGTTGTCGGTAGTCTGGCGCAAATTTTCTTTCGGTTTCTATCTACGCAGAAAATCTACATATAAGCCCCCACTGTCCTTCCGCAGGAAACTCCGACATCTGAACTATCCCCGTCAAAGGCAGCACAACCGAGACTTATGGGCTATGTCACGAGTTGAAATCGATGACTACATTCCCCAGGAACAGCTTGACTGCGGTGTATCAGTGAAAGTGTTTTTCACGAAGAACGGTCAGATCGTATGTACCAGGGAGATGGCCTTACCTCCGGGTGGCTTCTACCCTACGGTCGGCTTGTTGAGCCGAGGTGAAAAGGTTCGCGTTGACATGCAACCTCTTTCCGGATGAATGGAAGGAATGTTATCCATTCGAAACTTCCGCGACAATCTGATCGGGCTGGGATTTTCCTCGTTAGATATTTCTTCGGTGCTTGTTACTCTATGAATATCTGGTTGACAGCTTGAATCCCAATCGAAAAGAACCCTGTCATCGAAGTGAAACTCCTCCCTTAATTTATTTTATCACCTACACTATGTCGGAGTCGAATATCCGAACGGCTCGGCGAATTTTAAGAGGAGAACGCAAGATGACGATGACGACGCTGTTTCGTATCAGCCGGTGACATTGTCAATCAGTCGTCCAGCCTATCTACCAGAAGAGGCGAGAGGAAAGCAATGTGTATATATTACATGAAACATAAATGTCATATATACATGAAACCCGACGGGAGAAAGAATCGATCGGGAGAGCAGAAAAGACGAAGTCTCGAACCGACATGATTGTTCGCAGTCGATCAAGGTAATAAGTCAGCTTTTTTGGCCGATGTGATCATCTTAGGTAGTGTGTCATCGTACAATATGCACCTGTTTGAGGACTCGTGTCGGATGGGGACTGGCCTAAGGTTTAGGCTAACCAGGAGAAGGATAAGAAAGTCAACGAAGTTCGGTTCGATGTACACACGGAGTTGACGAAGAAAATGAGATAAATCTATTCCAGTTGAACATTGTAACAGAGCCTCACAACCTTCCTAATATCAAGCCGAGACCCGCAATGGATGATTGCGGAAAAGCACAACTTAGCGAGACGAGACCTCGGAACATAGATATATCAGATACAGGTAGCGAAGCATCCAAGAGCTTGAAGAAGACGGGAGAGTGAAAATAAAGTTTAATTTCCGAAGAACTCCATTATTCTCTTTATTGTTTCATCCGTTGGATCGATCCTATCGTAGTGATTCAGGTGAGGTCCCGCAGAAGCTGCCCAACCTGATCAACCTCGCTGCCGATATATCTGACTATACATATTTTCTCCGCTTTACTATTCCGTACTAAACTCCATGAAAATATATTTGGGATATCATTGGAGAATCATCCGTCAGATTCATTTGTGTTATGTGTACAGTCGATGGACTCCTCTAAAAACTCAAATAGCAAGTAATAAGCAGCTTCTTATCAGAAATATATTTCGAAGGGATGACAGAGGAAAGGGAGTCCTACTCAAAATGAGCTCGAGATTTTTTCGCCAAGCAAGACTCGATTGCGCAAACAAAGATCATTCAGTCCCGAGCTCTACCTCACAGACAATATTCAGGTCTTGAGCACTCCGCTTCTCCTGGGAGATCGGGGGACGAGGAATTCCCAGGGTCGGGAGAAAAGCGAGGAGTCCACGCGAAACTAACTTTAGAAAGAGATAATGATTGACAGTCGTCGACTGTGATGACCGCGTCATGATGATGATAACTATTTCAGTGAGAAATCCTCCCGGCTTCCAGGCAGGAGGGAACAACGATCGTCTCCCTGAGCTTGCAGTTCCCAGCCAGGGAGAATCGTATGATACTTACAAGATTACCTAGCGCGTGATCGTTTTCGATGAGGAAATATGATGAATGCAGTGTACAGGTGTCCCCAGTTGCACCGCAACCGGGCAAGGACATCAGGCTTCGTCCTGAAATGGGTTCGGATGATCGTCCGATTGGACCACTATACACTCATGAGTGCTTTTGGGCTCACACATGTACACGAGGTATTCAATTTGGGGTGCGAGGAATTCTACAATTACATGGAGTAAAATACAATGATTGAAATTTACACCATTGATCTGCTTCACGAGCCTCCAGGGTTAACGTAAATCTTTTCGCGGGAGGATCCATCTCCTATAATTTCCAAAAAATATGTACACTACCTAGTGACAAGGATAGTGATCGGGGAATAGTTATTTGGAAACCCGTGAGGATTTTCTTCAAAATTAATCTTAGGATCGCCCGGAGCGACGAAGTCTTGTCCACCGAGCCGGATCGACACCGTCAAATTGGGACCGAAGCGGCTTTCTTTCAAATGCTTGACTTCTCCAGCGAGAGATCCCGACCCGGCGCAGGAACTTGCCAATCCACCGGCTCGGGAAAGAAAATTCTGTGGGATATTCATCATTCTCTCCTTGCTCACCGTGATACTGAGCCAAATCTGAGGTATTCTTTTCTGGAAATCGATGTACTGCGAGAGCTCATCGAGTTCTCGAGGATCGTACCCCAATAGAGTCATGGACGGTTTCCGGAATTCGATCCCAGATTTGCATCTACTGCCGTCAATTCCCTAAACGAGCAGATGCGACAAAGCGTTTCCCATTCTCTGCAATCGGTCTTCACCTTCCGCTCAGTTGTTCAGTGGCGGAACGGGCTCATTCTTTTGCGAGGGGGTTCGATTTGCGTTTGCTGATTTTCCGCCGCAGGAGCGCATCGTCCCCAAGCATCAAGGACTTGGCAAACGCGTTGTCATTGGTCGACACCAAGCCCGCTTTCATCGCTTCGATAGAAGCACCCTCGAAAGGGACGTCAACCGTCTCAACTAAACCCTCTTCCGAGGTGAAAAACCCTTCCGGAGCTCCTTGGCCTCCGAGAGCAACCTCCATGGGCTGTTCAACAGGCTGACGATTCAAATCAACGAGATCTTGTTTCGTGGGCGAGTGCACTTCACGCAATTTGACTTCGTCCTGGGACAGGAAAACTTCAACCACGGCAACAGGGATATCGTCCTGAGGCTCTTGTCCATCGTTCTGTTCGGACTGCTGGATGTCTTCGGGAGAACCAAGTTCATCCGTCGACGTCGGAACTTCCTCTTGAGAATCCGAGTCCTCGTCCGTGATCTTGCTCAAGCGGTCCTCATTGTAATTTATCTGGAGATCAGTACCTGAGGGAAAGGGGGAAAATTAAAATCCAGCCGACGGAAAGTCTCAGATCGGGTAAATGAATGGAGAGCGATAAGGCTCCTCTGGAATCATTCGCCAACTTCGATCTCAAACCGACCTCTTCGACGAGAACGCGTCGACGTTTTGATGAGATCTGTTTTCCTCATGCTTCTCTGCTTCTTGCTCAATGGTTTCTTGCCCACTTTCGGTAAGCGAGGCTCTTCCAAGAGTTTATCCATCATCGATGATGTTGGTTGTACGGTCTCCGGAGTGACTCTGGCGACGTTTATGACCTTACGCGGCTGAACGGCTGCTTTCTTCGCAGGTGGCGGCGGTGGCGGCGGTGCCGCTGCGGCGGCGGCCGTTTTACGCTCGACAGGTTTGACGATCTGTTGAGTGACTCTTCTGACAGTGGTCGTCTGAGGTTTCTTCGCTGTGGCTTCGGAGGGTTTGACGACGGCCTTCGGCGGATTCCTTATCACCATAGCCGCTGAGACCGGTCTGGAACCAGCGGGCTCCGTAATGCTCCGCACCGTCGGCTGAGACGGAGTTGCCTGTACGGTGATGTGTCGCTGGGGTATGATAGGTGCGACGGTTCGGAGGAAGACTTTGTTGGGCTGGCCGGGAACCGTGGATCGAATCGTTTGCACAGTCGTACCCGACATACTGGGTCGTACGGTGACGATCCGAGCTCCGGGCGGGCCCGAGTACGTCGACAACCTGGGTCTCATGCCTCCTATCATCGATGTAACGATTCGAGGGCCTCGAATGATCGAAGGCCGAACGCCGCCGCTCGTGATCATTCTCGGAGCGTTCAAGCTTCCGGGGGTGATTGTTCGTATCACGACGCTGCCACTTGTCGCAGTTTGGATTCCGCTCACCCTGATCGGCGAAGGCAGAACGCGCTGCGCGGGTGGGCGCGAAATGATCGTCGTTGCGGATCGCTGCACGGGCGTAGAAGTCATCGATGGCGATAATCGAATACTGCGGATCTGAGCGTGCTGGTGTAGCTGCGGATGCATTTGCTGCGCCGATTGCTGTTGTCTCTGCTGCACATTCTGCTGTTGGTGTACGTTCTGAACTATGGGGCGAGTGATGACCTTAGGCACAACGATTGTTTTCGTGATTCCGGAAAAACTCGTAGTCGTATTCGGTCTCGAGGGGTTCGGTGGAACAGTGATGAGGATCGGCTTCTGGGCGGTGTGGAGATAGGAGCAGCTCGGCTGGGACGCGCTGCTCACCAGCGTGATGTTCGGTCGGTTCGTCATCGATGGATTAACGATCGTCACCATCGGTTTCACCGTTACAGCTGAGGGTGCCGAGTGGACCGATGAGGTTACCGCCACCGACTTTACGATCGTGCTCGGTCTCACGATCGATTGCTGACTCGGGAGCGACGAATGCGATTTCGTCACGGTCACCGGCGCCGGCTCGAGAACGGCGTTCGGATCCGCGAACTCACTCATCACTTTGCGCTTCCGCTCTCGTTTGCCTTCGACGATCAGAACGGCAGCTGCGTTCGCTTGTGGTCTGACTCGGTCTGCGCCATCCTTCGGAACGCGTGTGATTCCAACATCCGTGGCGGTTTTCTGCTTCTTGCCGGCGGGCTCATCAAGTCTCGCTGCTGCCATCGTCGTCGTCGTCGTGATGGAACTCGATGGCAGTGCTTTCGCCGACTCCGCGTTAACGGGGAGCGTGCACACTACTACTCGATGGCTTGTCGATGGTGTCGACGTTGCGCTCGGGCTGGATTCGAGTTTCTCTTTTTGGCGCAAAAATTCCTCTTGGTCGAGAGTTTCTTCCGCGGTGTCCGTATCGGACGCGTGTGAATTTCGTTGCGGTTTCTTCTTCAGAGGCACTCTCACCGAGCGAACGGTGCCTCGAGGAGACGCAATTTTCGGGGATGGGGATCTCGAAGCCGATAGCGCGGGAGGCGGGGGAGGGGGAAGAGAGAATTGAGCCGCAGAGCCACTTTCTCCGGCGGGGGGACTTTGTCCCGATATCCCTGCGTGGCCACGGGTCGATCTAGTCCGTATTGGGAGGGCGACCTTCAGAACAGTCTTTTTGCCCTTACCCCTGAGCGGCATCGACTTCTGGTTTTGTTTCGTGGATCGGGAGTCGTCGGTCGGGGGCGGTCTCCCTCGTCTTTTCGCCTTGTCTGCGTCGTCGGGCGCGGTATCGGCGGAGTCTGAATCTTCTGCCGACCTCGGGGACTTACGGGTTGAAACAGGTGCTGGTTTTTCTGATTCGACCTCGTTTTCGTCTGTCGGCGATCCCTCCTTTCGGAAACGTCCACGTTTTTTCCTGGTGCTTTCGATAGTTTCTTTCATGTCTAATTTAGACTGAGCAATCGGAGTGCTTGTCTTCGGTAGTTCGTCTCGCTCCTCTGACCGTGGGCTGTTCAGTTTCGAGGCGCCGTCTGCGGGAACATCCTCAGGAAGGAGCTCTGAACCGGTGTTGGTCCGCTTGCGACCACGTTTCGGTGCAGCTGGGGTTTCGTCTTCGGCTTCGATAAGTTTCTGGCGACCTCTGCCACGTCTCACTCCTTGGTCGTCGGTCGACGGATCGGCTTTCTCCTGACTCGCAACATTTTGATCAGTTTTATCGCGATCCTGCGTTCCGCCGGACGCGGCGGTGGATTCAGAAACCCGCGGCGTTCTCCCGGACCTACCTCTCCTCTTGATGGCATCGGTAGCTTCGAGTTTTTGATCTTCGAGTTTCACCTCGGTTACTGGCATCGTTTGGTCATCGGCGGGCTCCGCTTTGGCGGATCTGTTCCTCAGAGCTCTTGTCGGCACTGATTTTTCCACCTGTTTTTCCGCAGCAATTTTCGTCGGCACGTTCTGCTCGGCAGGCGACTCAGAAGCGTCCCCCGGATCCACTGTTTGTTTCAAGTTTCGAACAGCTTTCTTGGGTCTTCCCGGCTCCTTCCTGACGACATCAGCGGAATCAGTCTCTTCGGACTCTACGGCGTTCGATGTTTCTTCTTCCGTATCCTTCTTCTTCTCCGGAGAAATGTCGTTCGATACGCGGAAATCCGTGCCTGGTTCTGCGGCGATCGTGGCACCAACTGCCGCGAGGCATCCTTTGAACTTGAGCTTGAAGTCCGGAGTTTCTGTTTCCGTGTCCACTCTGTGATCCTGGACTTCGCCTAGCATCGCGTCCATGGAAGCGAGACAACTGCGGAGAATCATGCCTACAGATATTTCTTCGGTAGGCGTTGACATTCCCGGTTCGTCTTTTGGCCGGTCGGCCTTCTTCTCAGCAGGCGGAGGAGCTTTTTTCTTGAGACTGATTTTCGCATTCGTTGCCAGCTGAATGCGCATCCTCGATTTCTTATTCACCATCTGGAAACGTAGAATGAGACTTTGAATTTCGAGTTCTACTAGATGGAAGCGAATGAATGTCAAGGAGAAAATATCCGAGACCATGACACCTCGGTTTCGCGACTACCGTAAATCGAAAGCTATGCACCCGCGCAGTCAATTTCGATCTTTTCACTAAGAATTTCATAATTGCTTCCCACCGGACACAGGGCGATGAGTGGGTAGCTCAATCAAAAATGAGGGTCTAGAGGCACTCGCTGCCCGATTTCAATCGCGGCTTATTAGGCGGAACGTGTCAATTCTCGATCAGCAAGTCCCGATGCACATCTCGAACCGCGTCCGGTGTCACCGTCGACGCCGGCAGTTATGACTCTGACACTTGGAGACGGACTTCGGTTTGGCGCCATATTGTCCGATCATGATTCTTCGAGTTTCGGACCCGTGCGAAACCGCTCTGATATTTCTCTCCGGCCTGTATGTGTCGCGGCTGCCTTGAGCAACAACGCACCCAAGCGGTGCGCCCGAAGTCCAATGCAGTACGCGATCGCAACGAACGTCAGCGGCAGCGCTCGAAGGGCCCGAACGCACAGAGGCACTAGAAAAACCGTTGGCAGCTGAATTCGTACCTTGACGAGTTTCCTTTTTCGGAATCAGCAAAAACTGTTTTTTGTTCTCCGAGAGCACGGCTCTGGGCCCTGGAAACGGAACGGAGACACAATAATTACAACCGAGTTGTCTTTGAGTTCCAAGGAACATTCATTCCGAATCGAATCTGACTGAGTGGTAGACGGACGGACGGCCGAACGAACGAACCAACCGACGGAGATGCGACGCACCACAGTGACCCCGAAACTCGTACTTCCTCCCGAACCGAAACTCACCGTAATGATCAGCGGTGCCCGCGGTGCTCGTCAGGAATTATGTAGCAGCTGGACACCCGCAAAGTTTCATCGGAAACCTGCGCAAAACACATACAAATCAACTTACACACAACAACAGACAGCGAAAATGGCGCAAATTTATGAGCCAGAATGGCGGCATCCGACGTACCACTGAGTACCACGGGTGCTGACGCACCACTTTGCGGACCCCGGAACCTTTTGCATTTCGATAGGCGATCGAGAGGAGCAATCAAAGCACCCAGTCTCCTGGTCGTTAGCCCTCCCGCTACGCAATCGGAACAGGTCATTTGCCTGACTCTATACCACGAGCTTTCCCCCGTAATCGCGGGAAAACGCTCTTTTTTAACATTGAAATTTTGAAAGAGACGGCGGCTATGGTTTATATTTGTGGTTCGTTGAGAGAGAGCTTTCGGGCGACCAGAGAGTTTCGTGGTACTTTCCGCGTACGTGCTCTCACCCTCAGAATGGTGATGGTAGAGTGTTGACACCATACACTCACCTCCTCGAGAGCAGCAACCTGAGCATCACCTGATCGCGTTGACTTCTCTTCGCGACCCAGTGCTGGTAGTGGGTCGACATCTGTCGGCTGCTTCATCTGAAGGTGTCAGAAAGTAGTGACTAGTGACTCCAGATGACGGCGCGCGTATCAGTGGAACGGTAGCCTCGACAGTGGGCAGCGTACAGTTTTGGCAAGCGCCATGAATCAAGTGGCTGAGGGCATGTTCCCTCCATCGTACTCCGAAGCCACCGGACAGCACGCTTCCCTCGGGGGCGGTCTGACGTTCGTTGACTTCCTCCCGAAGTGCCTCACCTCCGGGGGAGTATTCTCCACGCCTGCCTTCGAGCCGTTCAGGTGCGTGACAGCATTCGGATGAACGACGAACGAACTTCGCTTACTTGCGAGCAGGTGGCACGAATCGCGGGTTCTTATGATTTTATTATTTTTTGCGGTCGCTGAATCACCCGAACGGGGTTGATCCCCTCGAGGATATTCCGTCGAGCCTGTCCGTCTGGCCAAAAGATCGAGAGAGTTGAGTTTGCCTCCTTTTCCTGAACGGTGCTTATGAACGCTCTGCTGGAAGCGCGTGCTCGCTTATCCATCGTTTGACTCCGCTCGTTCAGACTCCAACGGGGGGAGCCGAGCCCCCAGTATGGGAATCGTTTCTGTCCTCGACGGCTCCATCATCTAAAATTAGCGAGGAGGAAAGTATGAGAGCTCAACTCATGTCCGAACGATGTCCACAAAACCCCGGATCGAGGTCGCCGAGAAGGCGTCGTTCCATCCTATCGTGCGAGTTTTAAGTGTCAAGCTCTGATGAGATTCCTCTTGCGCACTAATATATTGTATCTACCACCTGAGAAGTACGCGTCAAGAAGCGGCATACGATTGCAGTCTGCAGAGATCCGTTTCAGAGCAGCGTTGCAGAGGAGCGTTTCATCAGGATTCCCCGCTCGGGATCGGGGCGTCAATCAAGTCGATGGTTTCGTTCTGATTTCGATCTACATCCTCCCGTCTGTATATCATGCGGAGATCAGACTCATTTATCGATTCTCCACAATATTCAGATGTCTCGTATATCGTGCAAACGATTGGCTCCGGGAGCATCCAGAATGGGAGGTCAAAACGTGCGAATCAGTGGAATTCAAAACGAATTCGGAGATAATAAACACGGAGCGGATGACTTATTTCGAAATAAGCGACGCTAGCACTCGTTTAGTGAAATCGCTAAGGTAAGCTTACCTCATTCTTGTTTGCTTATGAGAATGAGTGCGCGGGCAAAGCGACTCCGAGAGCTCTCGGAGGACAATTGTTATTCGAGTATGATGAATTGCGTCGGACTCTTCGAGCGTAGCCGAGTTGACAATGATCTGATTTTTCCCCAGGATGTGGCTTGTTCCAAGAGCCGATTCGACCCGACCCCCTCAGCAAATTCAATACCAGGATCTCGTTCCACAGCAGACCGGTCACGCAGGCCTTTTTGGAATGCCTACATTCGAGACCCTCCACCAAGTAAGCTTCGCTGATCTGGACTGGGTGTTTGGAGCGTTTTCTCGATATCCCAAGTGGATGAGCGAGCGAGGAATTGAATTCTACTTGCCCTTAATTCCCTAGGTACTCGAGCGCTACAATTACGAATGCCGGTCGAAGTCGGCCCCTGGCCGAGTTCTGACAATCGAGACGCAAGAGATGAAGATCCCCTCTTGCTCGACTTTCAATCCCGAAAGAACGTTCTGGTGCGAACCCGGAGGCCGTTCCAAACATTATGTCTTCCTCGTGAGGGTATTCTTCGAAATTCACTTAACTGGTAAGTTCAGACGATCGTATTCCGTGACCAATGCAACCAGGTCTTATTCACTCCGGGGGTTCACGACGGAACGGCGGTGGGTGAGCGTGACGAGCTGGAGCTTGGAGCGGTCGCCTTATCGAGCCAGGACGCCGGGGGCGGGGTGTCTGAATTCACGGAATTGTCGTACATGAGTCGTCGCGAGACCGTCGCCACGGTCGACAGAAATAGGGGAGGAAGATTTGTAATGACGTCATGCGGGTCACGTTTAGATGTCGACCATGACTCATCCTCTACAAACTGAGGCGAAATCGTCCATACGTGACGCACCTACCCCCGACGTAATGGATGCGTCGTCTCTTACGTGTCAACTCAAGGAAACGTCGCCCATTCCAGGGTACGGTATTCTCGAAGAAATCGGCGTTGCCGACTTCGTTCCTCAGAGCCTCTCTACGGGAAGGATATTCTGCACACCGCAATTCGAGACATTTTCTACGCTCATCGAGAAAGCATCAAACTGGTGTGCTCAACAGATGTCCCTACGGTTCTGCAATGCTCAGTCGATTGAGATCAAACTCAAATCAGGGCGAGCAATGGTCGATACACAGAGATCATGCTACACGGGTGAGTCGGCGACCTTCCGAAAGCAATGTCTTCTCACGTTCTTCGGTCTGGAGACAGGTGAAATATTGAAAAAAATTCCAGAGCATGCTGAGAGAAGTACATTTTTCGTGCGGATACTCCGAGTGGCTTATGCCAAAACACCACGATCGTCAGCTTCCTTGGAAGGTCTTCCCCCCTCATGTGGACCCCTGAGTCCACCGCTACAACTCAAATGCAAGACTTTCATACCTGGACAACTAACTAGGGGATTCCTTGTGCCTGAATTCGAGAGTCTCGGCGCTATGAAGCGCCGAGTCGAAGCTTGGATTGCGGCCACAGGTCAGTGAAAACTCCGAGGAAATAAGCGGGGATCTTCTTGAATGTATGACGATCCTTACGCTCGCGCGAGCAGCCCGAGAGTAACTTCCGTCCTCCGCAGGTGCTCGAGTGGTGAGTTCCGAAACTGTCGCGATGCGATTGTGTGCCGGCGCAGATGCTCAACCGGGCGTCGAATCGTCATTTACCTTCAACGCGTCGCGGAATGAGTATTGGATGTATGTAATCAGAATCTACCTCGATGGAGCTTACACTGAGCCTTCATGTGAGACGCTGCCGGATGCCACTGCGCTCCCGAGGGGGGGCTGTTGTTCAATCCAATAGGCCGGGACACAAGTTTTCCAATACGGCGAGACTCTTCAGATCGATTTCTTTGTGGTTGCCGGTAAGAGTGGGCTTCGACGTTGAAGAAACAGAGTTTCTCGCGAGATAGCTTCCACAGCTCACCGATTCCTTTTCCACATTGGACCTCTCGAATAATTGTGTACACACAGCCGTTCTGTGATTATCATCTTCAAAGAATCGGAAGAGATCAAGATCGGAGAGCGGAGTCATCGTGCCAAACAAACCGTGCCTAATCGGAATGCAATTTTCGATTTAGCACGGACCCCTGGGAGAATGATTGGGGCTCATCATCACTCGTTCGGGTTCAGGATCCCGGAATCAGTCACTTCTTAAACCCTGTGAATCACGCGAATAATTTCACGGACTGCCCGACCATATCCGATAGTGATTAATTTTAGCTCTTTTGAAGCTTCTGGCTCTCTTGAGATTTCACCGGCTCGCGGGGAAGTTACTCCCCTTTCCCACCATCGCCCTTTTCCGGAAGCTATGCTTAGGAGCACAGTATGCCGAATTTTTTTCTCAGACCGAATCACCTCGGCTAAGTTGATGACTCGGGGGACCACCAAATGCCTTCTATATTCGTTGACGCTCCCAGCGGGGAAATCCAAGTGTGCGGAAGGGGCCCGCGAACTTTGTCGTCCTCCTACAGTAATCGATTCCGGTCGGTATGGAATTCGAATGTTATCACCACTCACATGTCACTACAAATCCTACTCAGGTTGTACGAAGCGCGACACTGCTATGATAGAAGATAGTAGAGGAGTCCTGACGTGGACCTAGTATCAAACTCACGACGTACGCGGAATTCCCTTCCGTCGGATTGGGGACAATCCCTGACCAAATCACTGACGAGAGTTCGACACATGCCTAAAACTTGTTTTCAGTCTCTGTGAGATTATTTTCCGCCGCGCCGCCGTTTCGGGCGTGGATAAGAAGTGACTTCGATTGGGACTGTTATCTATATGACAACATATATCTTATTTATTAGTTCGGATATTTATTGCGTTAATTGTAATTGTATTCATTCAACCCCCATGTTCCGCTCGAACACATCGCAGAGTGGAAGCTAAGTGTGGTGCTCGTCGGTGGATGTTGAGAACCCTAGCGTTCCATTCGAGCCGTTCTCGTCATCATCTTGGTAGAGTTCACTTGCTCCTCAATCGGAACTCTTGTAAAGTCAGGCTAATCCACAATCAATTCAAATGAGACGCGTTTCCCCTGTAAATATATTTTATGAGACCAAGTTGAAGTGTTGGGATTGAACTGAACATCAATAAAAGATTTGTACTCCCCGAGGCCTCGGCTTGTGATGGAAACTTGATTTCAGGAAGACGTCAAACTGGCGTCTGCGCAAGCTGATAAATCACAACGTCTACTGGTGGTCGCATTCGGCATCCCATCCGTCACCCGATCAGAACTACAGCTCCACGGACAATGAACGCGACTCGATTCGGAGCGTCTCCGTTCTACCGGTCAGAAGGTTCCGAGGTCCCGGTGAGAGAAATTATGCGGAACTCGTCATTCGTCACCCCAGCGTTCGGGCTTACCTTAAAGGATCTGGCGTTAAAAACTTTTTCTTAAGGGGGGAGTGACATCTACCGAGAAAGTTGGCCGCGGAGATACACTGGAGAGGTATTTTGAGTCCGGGTTGCGCTGCCAGGCCCGAATCAGTCCCGAAACTTCAACGCGGTCGCTCCCCCTGAACTTCACGGCGTCGATTCCCCCTCTTTCACGAGTACAGAGCCAGGACCTTCTCAGTCATGGGCGGATCACACAGGTCTATAGAGTCTTGGAAGTCACCCACGGGCTCCCCGCGCTAGCACTGCATTGCTAGGAAAGCCAATCCGCGATCAAGCTAGCTCGCGCTCTGCGCAGTATATGCACGGAAGAGTACCTCCTCACGCGACAATCGATTAGGGGTACCCGAAGCAATAATGGCACCTGGGTACATTGACAAATCCCAAAATAGGGACCGCAGCACTTCTCAGTCTAAGGCTAGAGGTTCCCGCATCAGTCCCCGTCACCCATCAGATATTCGAAGTACGGAGAGAGGGCGCTCAGGCGACGTGAGGACTGTGTCGTCATTCCGGGTTCATTATTTATTATTTTTATCACTCACAATATCGCGGAAGTCCCTTTTTGAGCCCCGCCTGGCGATTTCTGGACTTCCCGCAATCTTCCTTCAACGTGCCGGTCCCGTTGAGCGTCTTTCAAGGGGGGAAAGAGATTTCTCTGGTCAATTTCCACGAGAAGTTCCACAGCGACCTCTCACTTGAGGTTTTTGATCGCGCCCGCGTGCTCACCTCCCCGTATTTATCCTGGTTCGAATCCGGATCCACGCTGGAGAAGCCTCCCCTCTGGAGACGAACCTTCGTCTTTGCATCCTTCACCGTCTTCTCGACATCGCTCCCTACGTGCGGAGAATCCAGACTGAGCTCTCTCAAGAAACCATTACCAACCACGCTGGCATCCTCAGGGTTTTTATGGATGAACCTGTGAAAGGGGCATTGACCGTGAGGTCAAATTGGATTTGGGTGTACAGGATGCATCTCATCGCCGACCGGAAGGAATATCGGAATGCCTCTCTTGTATTGTACTGTATTGTATTTCGAGCGCAAGCGGACGAGTAAAAGATCGGAGACAGGATCTCTCCTGGGATATTCAATCATAGCGCGAGGAGACTGAAAGAGCCGAAAGAATCGAATCTGGTCGGCTCTCGAGAGGTGTGAATCTCGGGGAAGGCTCGGGCACGTCGAATGAAACTCATCTCACTGGGTTCGGGAGAAGAATAACTCTATAGAGTGGAGCATTGTGAATTGAGAAGCTAGGGAGATGCACAGTTTCTCATGGAGTCAAAGTCTGACCAGAGTTGGGTTTGGAATCGGGAAGCCACTGGATGCATGTCCGCGGCTCTCCTACGTCCGGTGAGACCCTCTTGCACGTGACCTTGGGCTCAATGACTCCGCCATTGCTGGCGACGTAGCCGGTATGATGCAGTCACACAATTTTTTTCTCGCGGGAATCGTGTCAGTCAACATTTACGATCCCCGCGAGAGGAGTCACGTGCAAGCCCCGGTCGGGCGTCGTGGAGGAGTCGGACACAGTCGTTCTGACGGAACGATTTTTGTTGCCACCGCTGCTGTTGTTTCAGGCGACGAAGACGGAGAAGTTTTCAATGATCATCTTCACCGGGTTAAGTACAGCCCTCACTCCTTTGGCGGTGTTGCTGAGCACCTCGCGAATGCAACTTTCCAACATCATGGGATCGACAGCCATCGTGCTAAACCCGAGTTTCGCGCAGAATACGCCTCGAGTGGGAAACCTCATCTCCTCAGAATAAGAGGTCGGGGATCGTCCCAATCTCATGGTTTCATGGTTTATTGGATCTGACTACAGTATTGCATAGTCAACCTCTTAAATTCAGGCGCGATAAATCTCAGCGGATCCTTCTAGTTTCGCGCTCCCATATCTCGAGGGATCGCTTAGTGGCGTGAACCAATGTAGGATTTGTCTCGCTGCTTAGGCCGAGGCGAGCAGCTAGTTCCTCATCGGTAATGAGAAGCTCATTGCATTTAAAAATCACATGTGCCAGTGTTTCTTGGTGAACTCCACATCGTTCGCAGTGCGTTTCAGGTTCGAAGAATATATTGAGTCGTCTTGTTGGGAGAGCTCCAGCTCTAGCCAGAGCCAGCAGCGCCGAGCCGCGACTGTTGTCGTAGACGTGAGAGGCTGATGTCCTTGACTTATTGTATGTGCGATACACATCCAGCGTAGTTTTTCCAGCCATTCCGTTCGCCCATGCTATGTCTTGCGTCGTCTTGATGTTCTCGGTTATCTTTCGAAAGTATGTTCCAAGTAACGTTCGACCGTCGTGGTCCAGCTCGACTTGCAGTGCTTCGCAGTCAAATTTCTTTTTTAGCTGTTCCATCCTCTGATAGGCTCTGGTCTTCGATTTTTGCATGTTTATCGCGTTCAGCATCATTTTAGGCCACCGTGTGTCTGACATGGACTGAATGCGAGCAAAATACCTGAGTTTACTCTTCCCTTGCTTCAAAGGTGCTCCAATTGAGTTCGGATGAAAGGAACTCATTCGCTACATTCCATCCAGGGATTCCTAGGGCCCACCGGGCTGCTTGTCGCTGTATCTTCTCCAACTCACTGGCAGTTTTCGCCGTCATCTCTGACAATGTGTTCCGAGATGAGCTTGGCAATTTTTCGCTTCGAAAAAACCGTGTAATTAACATTGAGCCTTCCGTACTCCCACTGTACGGGGCAGTATCTGTCGACGGCGTTGCACAGCCAGTAATAGGACGATCGTCGCGATTGGAACTCTTCGATGCACAGCAAATGGGCGATATGCTCAAGCCAGTGTCCTGCGTGCCTTCTTCCAGGGTGATTTTCATTCGCAACATCGCTTCATAGATTTCGCCGTTTTCCAGGTCCTTTAACGAAATCGAGTGGCATCAGAAGTCGGATGAGCGGGCGACTGAGTTGACGGTTCCTCAACCAGCTCCTCCGGAAGAGGAAAGTTGGTGGTCGCAAAAGTTCATTTCAAGTCTACATACAGAAGCGAATAAGCTGACTGGACTCTCAAGCGAGTTGCAGACGCACTAAAAGGCTAACTGGATGACTTACCTCAGACAAAGCGAGGCTCTCTATGATGGGTCTATTCCTTTTTGGCGAAGGGGGTGGGTTGAAACCTTTGAGATCCCCACTCGACTGATGACAAACGTGAGCCAAATCTCTCTCGGTGAGAACGCAGGCCGGCCGGTAGAGCTCGTCGAAGTAATCCGAGAAGTACGTTATTTTGTACAGCTCACAGCCGAGCCACTGCACGACGTTGAAGCTTTCTGATCCTCTTCCTTTCAGTCAGCTGTGAACCATTGGAAAATTCATTCCTGAGGATGTAGCCTGCTTGAGCCCTTTTATTCTCTGAGGAGTAGGTGGCTTGCAGAAATCGGGTGCAAAGCATTCTACGATAGGACTCGTATCGGTCACCACATTGGGGGGAAGTCCCTTTTTATATCCCTGTGGTAAGGACCGAAAAAACGAGCCTCGACTCGGGTCCCATGGCAGCTCGACTCCAGAATGTCTCTAGCATTGGCATTAAAATGCCTCATCCTACCACCTTTGAAGAATTCTTCTTCCTCCTGGGCGGGGTCCGTATCGTCGCGTCTTAGCGAAGGGAAAACCGGCCGTCATCAGCTGCTGCATAGCCCAGTTCATTAGGGGGCTGTCGTCTCCATACGATGAAACCCCTCTACTTACAAGAACACTTCGGAAGCTCCGCTGATCAAGGACCAAAGACATGAAGACGGATTTCAGAAGTTGGAATTTCCCGAATTCCTGAACGGCTGGACCGATCGCCGGGGAAATTCATGAGTGCACCCCGAGTGCATCAGAGAGAACCCTCGGGTTTCTATGGGAGGGTAGGCCATGCGATGAGCATTCATGCCTGAATACCCGTGTGGCACGAATCGAACTTTTTGTAAAGGAATGGAGGAGGGGGATCGCCTCACAGACTCCTGAGCGCCTGAGTCGATCGTCGTGGAAAAGTAACTTATGAGATCGGGAGATTTTCAAGCTACAAGCCTTTCAAGCTTGATGAATTCGCTAGGGGCTCAGTGCATTCTGGGGCTCATTCTGGAAAATCACCCTACGAGAAGGGCGAAAATGGCGGAATATCCATGAGCCACTGCCACTGAACGGATGAGCCGGAAAGATTCGGGGAGGTATCTCGGAGACTTTTGAGAAGAATAGAGGAGGGTGATCGTCTCCTTGCGATAGGTTCTCCTGCCGATAAACCTGGATGGAAGTAGGTCAAAGCGCGAAGAATTCCAGATTTTCTGCGGTAAAAAGAAAAAGGCATTGAACGAGAGAAAGAAAAAAAAGGCGAGTAGACCGACAGACTCTCCCGCCCGGGAGGACGAATAATAACAGCAGTTGAACGGAGAAGAATAGGAAATGCGAAAATAGGGAAAAGGAGCAGCGGTATACCAGAGCCTGAGACGGGTGACAATGAACAAGGGAAGTAAATAAGGAACAACAGCAAGTGCACCCAGAGCCAGAGCTCGCACGGATGGTCGAGCGTCCAGCAGTTCAGCACCCTCGTCGTCGATTTGGAGGGAAAACTAGAATAGTTCGTATCTAAGTTCCTTTCCGAACCGTGAGAAGTCGCCTCCCGGGAAGTCTCATTAGAAGGAGATCGGGATCGGTCAGAGGACGCACGATCCGGGAAGGCTTATCGGCTCTCTGAGAACGCGACCCAGACCTTTGTCGACTCTCGATACAAGGAAGGAGGAAAATTCTCGACGCAAAACTCCTTTCAAGAATTTTTGTCGCTGTGAATATACCAGTGAGTCCCCCTCTGCATGCTCCGGGTGGGTTCGGTCACCAACTTTTCTCTCCTTTGCCTCTGATATACATGACATGTTCCCGTCAAGAATATGAAAGTCCGCTCCACTCATTAGAGACACGTTGGTGTTCTCTACATTCACTATTCCTCCTCCCGCACGTCAGAGTGTCTTTTCGAAACTCTCGAGAGCGACAACCCGGCTCGATATCTCGTCGGCATGCATATACGCTCGTTCACGTCAATCCGAACCAGCTCATAAGGCAAGACTGTGCAGGAACGGGGTAGTGCCAGAATAAGGACACACCTACGTATCAGTGAGTGGAGACTCCCCTTGTGCCGGCTCGGAATTGATGTATGGCTCTTCTTTGAGTTTGTTCAGAACTTCGACGTTCCACAGCCCGTCTCCCCGATGGAGGCCTCGGCGAGAATCTTTTCGCGCAGCTCTCCGCCGTCGGTCCAGACCGCGGCTGAATAAGCCCACAAAGACTTCTGGTATTTTCCCGAGCTCTTTCCAGCGAGTTGATGTGATGCTGAAGACCCCATCGAGTAAGTCTCTTGTTTCGCAGTGGCTCGCATGCCGTCCGTTCAACCGGCGCGGCAGTGAAGTAGATGGCAGCGACGTCAACGCCGACACCGATCATGAATCTGGAGTCGTCGTCTTTTCGTCCAAAAGCGGGGGCTCGTTGCAGCCATGACGCGAGAGGATCGTGGTCTCCCTGAACGGAAACTACGTTTCGAATTTCGAGTCGAAGCTTCAGACGCTCCACGGTGAGACCCAGTCTGGCCTCGTGGCTTGCCGCCGTCCACTGTTGTCCGATGTCCCCTTCCTTTAAGAATTGATGCTAGGCTTGAGTCCCTCCTTCGCATTCGAGACCCTCTCCCGGACCCTTGCCAGACTCGGCCTCGACCCTCGGATCCAAGAACGTGCTCGTGTCCGCCACTCGTCCTCCAGGCTTACTCGTCCCTGGTTTGTCCACGTGTGCCGGCACCTGAATCCGGAGTGACTTGTGGCGTTCTTGGCTTCTGTTGCGAACGACAACAACCCCGACGACTGGTTCAATTCAATCCCTCATCGTCGCTGAAGCCTCAAAGCTAACGATCAGAAGGGACTTCGGTAGTTTCCGGGCCGGTTTTTCTTCTCTCTACCATTCATTCTTGAGTCCCTGTCGCGTCTCGCGTACATCGACGTATTAACGTTCGCTCGCCCTGAAGGTGGCGAAAGTGGAAGGGTTCTTGGAGCCCGACTCGTGGTTCAGGGATACCACCAGCGAAACGATCGATAGCTGAGTGAATTAATTTATCACTCGTTGCACAACCCATCTATAATATGTCATATGGCTTGGGAGTGCTAGGCAAGCGCGACCGGCTGTCAAGCACCGAGCAGTCTCCGCCTCTGGCCGACCCCAGCGAGAACTCACTGGGAACTCGGTTCTGCTGTGTCGGCATCGCCCGTTTGGGTTGCGTGAGTTTCTTTAAAGCCGAATGCGGGGCAAAAGCGTCCCTTGAGCCGATCACTGAAGTCGCCTACAGACTGCAAATCCGTCGGTAGGCTATCGATGCGCCATTGCCATTGAACAACACGCTGTGACTGGCTTCAGCCAGGAACGAATTACAATCGGAGGGGTAGACCAACTTCCGATGAGAATCTGAGTCGCCGAGAATACTCCTCGGAGCCGCCCCCTGATCCCAGGCCCTTTTCGTGCATTCATCTCTACCTAAGAGACCTTCTCAGTGGCGCCCTATGTCTGGATCCTCCCAAAGATGACAGTTAGGCGGCGAGACCATCTGCGATCAGGACAGCTCGCGATTGCCGAGTATATAAACGGGGAAGTAGCTTTGACCGAGTTCGTTCAGGATTCCCCCGACTACTTACTGCTACCTAGGTAGATAAGTCGATGAGTTTTTCCGAAACTTCGACCGATGCACTCAATGTAAGGCTGGGATCTCCGAATCCTCCCTGCACCAGTCAGATATTCGAAGTTAGAAGAGGGAAAACGATGCCGTCATTCCAGGAACAATTATTTTTATCACTTTTAAAAAGCGCGAAAGTTCCTTTTGGCCCATCGACCCCTAGGTAATAGTTTATTTCCCGGAATCTTCCTTCAGCGTGACGGTCCTGTTGAACACCAGCTGTGGGAGAGAGGAGATTTCTCTAGTCGCTGTCCACGAGAACTTCTATAGGGAGTTCTCCCTGGAGTTCCTCAATCGCCTGTCGCGTACTCACCTTTCCGCAATTATCCCTGTTGGAATCCGGATCGACGCTGAAGAAGCCTACTCTCTCGAACTGAAAACGATCGTACGTCTTGGCATCCTTCACTGTCTTCTCTACCAGAGCATTGCTCCATACGTGCAGAGAATTCGGATTGCAGTCGCTCAGGAAACCATTAGGTACTACGCTGGTATCCTCGGGGTTCTTATGGATGAACCTGTAAGTGGGGCATTAACCGTCAGGTCAAATTGATTTTGGGTGTACAGGATGCGCCTCATCGCCAACGAAGAGGAACATCGGGATGCTTCTGTTTTATTGCATTTCGAAAGCGAGCGAACGAATTGAAGGTCTGAGAGAAGAGCTTCCCGGGAGTGTTCGATCATAGAGCGATGAGTACCGAGAGAGCCGAGACGATCGAACCCGATCGGCTCTCGATAGGCGAGAAATTCGGTAGAAGTTTGCACCCGATCGATAGAACTCGGCTCTCGAAATCTTGGGATAGAGAGAAATAAGACGGAATCATCTGTTAGCACTGATGGGATTCGAAAGGCAAGGAATACGCACAGTTTCTCATAGAGTCGAACTTCGGCTGGAAGAGGGTCGGAAACCCAGTGAATGAATGCCTTCGGCTTTTCTACGTCCGTTGAGACCTTCTTGCAAGTGACCTTGAGCTCGATGACTTCGCCGTTGCTTCCCTTGACCACTTCTGTAATGCTGGCGACGTAGCCGGTATGATGCAGTCCCACCGGCTGTTCGGGACACAGACGTCTGTACGATTTGTCAGGCTTTTTCTCACGGAAATCGTCTCTGTCGATATAAACGACCTCCGCGAAAGGAATGACGTGCGAGCCCCGTTCGGGCTCCGCGGGGAAGTCGGGCACAGTAATTTCTAAGGAACGTTGTTTCTTGCCGCCGCCCCTGCCGTCGTTTTCGGCGACGAGGACGGAGAAGTTTTCGATGGTCATCTTGACCGGGTTAAGGACAGCCATCACTCGTTTGGCGGTTGTGTTGAGCACCTCGCGAACGCAACTTTCCAACATCATGGGATCGACAGCCATCGTGCTACCGGTAAGCCCGAGTTTCGCGCAGAATAAGTGGATGGCCTCGGGTGGGAAACCTCGTCTCCTCAGTGCTGTCAGGGTAAAAAGTCGGGGATCGTCCCAATCTCTGACAATGCGTTCCGAGATGAGCTTGGCAATTTTTCGCTTCGAAACAACCGTGTAATTAACATTGAGCCTTCCGTACTCCCACTGTACGGGGCAGTATCTGTCGACGGCGTTGCACAGCCAGTAATAGGACGATCGTCGCGATTGGAACTCTTTGGTACACAGTGAATGGGTGATATCCTCAATCGAATCACACAGACAATGAGTGAAATCGTACGTCGGATAGATGCACCACTTGTCGCCTGTCCTGTGGTGAGCACACATTTTGATCCGATACGCGACGGGGTCCTGCTTGCCTTCTTCCAGAGTGATTTTCATTCGCAACGTCGCTTCACCTTGGTAGATTTTGCCGTTTTTCATGTCCTTCAACGAAATAAAAAGGCATCAAAGTCCGGGTGAGCGGGCAACCGAGTTGACGCTTTCTCCAACGGCTCCGGAAGGAAGAAGTTGCTGGTCGCAAAAGTTCATTCCACGTCTACATAGAGAAGCGAATCAGCAGGCTTGACTCTCAAGCGAGTTGCAGACGCACTAATAGGCTAACCGGATGACTTACCTCGAACAAAGCGAGGCTCTCTTTGATAGGTCTGTTCCTCCATGGCGAAGGGGGAGGGTTGAAACCTTTGAGATCCTCACTCGATTGATGACAAACGTAGGCCAAATCTCTCTCGATGAGAATACAGGCCAGCCGGTAGAGTTCGTCGAAATAATCCGATGAGTACGTTATTTTGTACGGCTTATAGCCGAGCCACTGCACGGCGTCGAGGATTCCTATTGGAAGAAACAAAATGAAGAGCCTCGGCTCAGCTTCCGAACCTGCTCGACATCGGCATGTCTCCATTGTGGGCATGAGGATGCTCCTCTCACTACCTTTGAAGAATTTCTCTTCCTCCTTGGCGGGGTTCGTATCGTCGTAGCGTAGGAAACACAGGCCGTCATGAGCTGCTGCATAACCGAAGTTTATACTTATGGCTTTTGCGTGCCCGATATGCAGGACTCCATTCGGTTCAGGCGGGAATCGGGTGCGAACCTTCCCGCCAGTCCTCTTGAGATGCGCAGCGATGTGCCTGGCGGGTGATTCAGGGTTATTTTTTCTTCGGGGTGAAACTCTAGACCTGAGAGTATACGATTTTCCCTTGTGACACGCAAGCTGTCCGCGAGCGGGTATCATGGGCACGCGACTCGCGAGCATGTACACGACACCTAAACGGCACTCACTTCATTGTGTTCTCGGTCATCTGATAGCCATCGGTTTTATGGTTCTCGCCCGGTTTATGAAAATTAGCTTTCTTCATGAGCTCTTGGATAGTCCTGCATTCTTCCGTCTCTGCCGAGGGCACGCTTGCTGGGTCCCCGGGCGTCTTAGGGTCCTGGAATTAATGAAAAGAGATTTTGTCGACGTCGTAATTAGTACGTCGATGAGACTCATCGATTAGTCATCATCTATAAGTGCGGCCGATTGTTCCCGGGCAGCGTTCGTCTTCCGTCATCGGAGCATGGAGACGGCTCGACTTATTTCCTCGAGAACTGATCCAGGAGCGCATGCGGCCAAGTATCCCTCCAAATGGTCCACATGGCACGCTCCTCGCCGAAACTTTCAGTCGAAAAATAATTGAAATCAAGAGCCGGAGGCCCGCTCTTCGCAGGAGGAGTCAAAGACTGAAGTGAGACACGTTCTTGTTACGATTTTGTGGCCAACAATATCCATATCGACTACGGCGATCGGAAGTCGTATCGCGAAACGCTCTTTCGGGAGGGACATATTGTAAATTCGTCATGCTCTAGCGTCCGCGAAATCGTCATTCAATGTCGAGCGTAAACGAACGAGGATTACAGCGCCGCTATTACGCCGGCCGCCCAATCTTAATCCCGTTGAATCTCTCTCTTGTGGACATTGCCAACGGAAGAGTCATAGGGCTGAGTGCGGAGACACGCCGTCCACCTCGACAGTCACTGTCCACATTTCGTAGGAGCTGAACAAGCGACAAGTGCGACCTTCGGTAACCCTCACGATAACCTGTAAGTTCTCCCACGGGTTTCGCCATTGTTTCATGAGCAGCTCAGCCGAGAGGTTCGACAATCTCGACCACGAAATCGTCTTCTAGATTCGATTCGGAGGGGCGAACCAGCAGAAGTCACTTAAGCGCTTCCAGCTTTGGTTTTGGCGATCAGACAGCGCTAGGTCCGCGTGTGATTTGGCGGAATATCGCCTCAAACTCAAAAACTGCTCTTCTTCCTGTAGAGCGTTTGACGAACTCTCGTTTGGGAGCGATCAGAGCATTGACTCAGGACGACCAACGATAGAGAGGAGCTTCCCACGGCTTGATAGGTTTCGGAAACGGCTTTCATTTGCCTCCGGAACACGCTCGCGAGGGATTCTCCTCCACGTGCGCTCGATTTATTCATTAGGGGAGAATCGAGAATCCGCTCCGCCTATAGAGGTCAGATAACAGATGGACCCGAAACGCCTTCCATCTACGCCTGCCGGCTTCGTTCCACCGGATGACCGCATGTTCGGCTCGCTGCCTCCGCCTTACTCGGCGGCAGTGTCCCCAACTTACGCCCCGCCGGCGGGACCCGTTCAATCAGTCCCGATGCCCGGTCAGATGCCAATGCCGCAACCTGGTGAGTAGGGGAATGACAAAATTCAATGTGGACAGGAGAGATCGATCAAGTTCAAAATTCCGCTCACGATCAATCAGGTCCCGCTCCACCTCCAATCGGGGTGAATCCCGGAGAAGGGCCGCTTGGGTACCTCGCAGCCGTTGACCAACTTCTCATCAAGCAAGAAATCCATCTCGTTGAAGGTGAGCCGCTAGGATTAATCAAGACAGTATACACCCTCCGGGTCTCATGGAGATTAGAGTGCAGGGCGGATCTTAAGATGCAGACTGCAGACATGCATGGCAGCTTCGAGCGTCCCTCGCCGCCTTCCTGAAAGTTCTCTGATGACTTCCAGTGGTTGCCAACGTACAAACGAATGTGAAATTCGATATCCTGAACAATCAGGGACAGCTCGTATATCGAGCCGAAGAAAACTCAGAATTCTGCCAGAGGAATTGCGGGGGCCCAGCCCGTGGTTTCACAATTTTCATCAAGGATCTCATGGGGAGTGACGTGATCGCTTTAAGGAGGGACTGTAGGTGTTGCGGCTGTTGCTTCCCCTGCTGTTGTCTACAAGAGATGATCGTCGAAGCGCCTCCTGGCTATTGTGTGGGAAGAATCAAGGAAGACTGGACGTTCTGTACTCCTTCGTTCACCATTAGAGATGAACGGGACGAAGCAGTCTACAAAGTATCATCGAGGTGTTGTCCAGGGGCGAAGGGGCTCCACATCAACAGCGACGTACATTTCAAGGTGAAGTGAATGCAATCAAAGCCAGGAGGGGGAAAAATCCAAATTAGTTCCCCGCCGAATCGGAGGAACTCGCCCCATGCCTGATGTGGCGGGGGAGAACACAGCGCACCATCAACTTGACCAGAGCATCAATCCTTCTAGGTTGAGGACGTGACATCGAGTCACGAGATCGGACACATCGTCAAAGAGTGGGGCGGCGTTATTCAGGAGATTTATACGAGGGCGACCAATTTCAACGTCTCATTTCCCATGCATCTTTGTGTGCAACACAAAGCAATTCTTCTGTCGGTCGCCTTCCTCTTGGTGAGTCTGTCGCGCGTCTAGCTGCTGCCTGAAATGCGCTCGATGACGGCTCGATGAAGCCGATTGAATGACGGGCTCATGATTCTCGGAAGCTTTCCAACACTCCAAATGGGGGGGAGTAATTTCGCTTACGGCAGCCGACAATCTGCGTAAATGTCCCGATTTCTCCGACAGAACTTCATGTACTTCCAACAAACGCCAGCACAGTTCCGAGGAGATCATCACCCGGGTCCATCACCTTTCGTGGGAACCGTCGGCGGCCCGCAGCATTGCAACCCCGTGACGACGACAACTTCATTCGCTTGAAGAAAGGTTATCCTGGAGCAGGTCGAGATCGGACAGAAGACACCCGATTCGATGAGACTCATCGGCTTGTTGAGACCGCGACCCGGACTCTCTTGACTCTCGATAAATAAACAGGCGAAGACTCTCGTACACGCATAACTCCCCTCGAGAATTTTTTGTCACTGCGAATATTTCAGCGAGCCGCGCTCTGTCGAGGTTCCTCAAGCTTCCGGTGCGCTCGGTCACCAACTTTTTTTTCTCTCTCTGATGTCAGTACATGGTCCCGTCAAGAGGATGAATTCCGCTCCACTCATTAGGGACGAGTCGATGTTTTCGACGCTAACTATTTCCCCTCCCACACGTCAGTGTCTCGTCGGAACTCCCGAAAATGACACCCGTTCCAACCTCGCGTCGGCTTTATACGCTCGTTGACGTCATTCCGAACCTGCTCATGAAAAAAACTATGATCCGATATATTTATCAAGAACAGGCAGATGCAAGAACGAGAACACACATACGTATTCGTAAACAAAGATTTCCTCTCTGCCGGCTCGGAATTTATGTCTCTCCTCTGAGTTTGTTCAAAACGTCGACGTTCCACAGGTCCACTTCTCGATGGACGCCGCCGCAACGAATCTTTCCGCGCAGCTTCCGTCGTCGGTCCGGACCGCGGCTGAATAAACTCACAACGACTTCTGGTATTTTCCCGAGCCCATTCCAGCGACTTGGTGTGATGTTGAAGTCTCTACCGAGACGGTCTCTTGTTTCGCGATGGCTCGCACGCCGACCGCCCAAACGGCGTGGCGGTGAAGGAGTTGGCAGCGACGTCGACGCCGACACCGATCATAAATCTGGAGTCGTCGTCCTTTCATCCAAAAGTCGGAGCTCGTTGCAGCCATAAAGCGGGAGGATCGCGGTCTCCCTGAACGGAAACGACGTTTTGTATTTCGAGTCGAGGTTTTTTGACGCTCCACTGTGAAGCCCGGTCTGGAGCACGCCGCCGTCTTCTGTTGTCCCCTACCGTCTTTCCTTGCTTCTGAGGTCGAGTCCCTTCCTCGCGGTCGAGACCCTCTCCCGTGCCCTTGCCAGACTCAGCCTCGACCCGCGGAGACCACAACGTGCTCTTGTCCGCCACTCGTCCTCCAGACTAACTCGATCTCTGTTTGTCCACGTTTGTCCGGCACCCAAATTCGAAGTGAAACGTCACGTTCTTGGCATCTGTTGCGGACAACGGCAGCACCGACATCTCGTTGTGGTCGAATTCATCATTTTCGCTGCGACCCGAAAGCTGACGATCAAAAAGGACGTCGGTAACTGCCGAGCCGGTGTTTCTTTCCTTTACCATTTATCCTTGAGTTCGTGTCGTGTCTCGCGTGCATCAACGTACTAACGTTCGCTCGCCGTGAAGGTGGCGACAGTGAAAGGGTTCTAGGAGCCCGACTCGTGATTCAGGGATTCCGCCGGTGGAACGATCGATAGCTGAGTAAATTAATTTATTCCCCGTTGCACCACCCATCGATGTCATTCGGCTTAGAAGTGCACGGCAAGCGCGACCGGCTCTCCAGCACCGAGCAAGCACCGCCTATGGCCGACCCCAGCGATGACTCGCTAGAAAATCAGTTGAGCTCGAAAAGTCCCGTAGACGGACTGCTGAACAGCGAGTCGGAAGGCACCGAGGAGATTTCCTACGAACGCGTGTGCCCCGCACCGGGTTCTGAGCGAACTCACGCAACCCAAACGGACGATGTCAACACAACAGAACACGAGTTCCCCGAGCCACCGTGCCTCGAGCCGATCTCTGAAGTCGCCTCGGACTCAGAGGCGAGACCGGACTCGTCGTTAGCTATCGATGTGCCGTTGAACCTCACGCCCGAGCCGGTATCAGGCAGGGACGAATTACTATCGGATTGTAGACCTCTTTCGAACGAGAATCTAAATCGTCAACAAGAGTCTTCGAAGAGGAGCGATTCGATGCAGAAGTCGAGCAGCCGGGACTCGTCGAAGACATTGGAGAGCAGTCATCATTATAACCATCAACTGGATCAATCAACTTCGATCCCTAAGCCGGAGCTCGACCGGCGTCCCGCATCAGGACCTGAGAGACGGCCCACGTCATCATCTTCAGAGTCTGGACGGCTCGTGATTGAGTCCGAATTACGACCTGCGTCAGAATGTGAGCGACGTAGTCCCGCTTCAGAAGCTCATCGATGTCCTCCCGAACAAGGATGGGACCGACGTCTCGCGACGTCCAAATCTGAACAGCGACGTCTCGACGTCGAGCCGCAAGGACAAGCCTGTCCCGACCGGACCCCTCGGGGAACTCCTCAGCGGACCGCTGAACGAAACCCAGGACGGGATCCTGAACGAGATCCTGGACGGGAACCTGAACGGGGACCTGAACGGGATCCTGAACGGGATCCTGAACGGAATCCTGAGCACCGTCCCGAGCGAGAACCGGCTTCAGTGGTTGTGAAAGAGCCCACGCCCCTCCCGAAACCACGGCCCCCACCAGTTCCCCCACACCCTCCGGTGATGTCTCCAAGCTCACAAGCGACGGCGGTGGCGGCGGCGGCGGCGACGAGACAAAGACGACGCTCTGAAGGCCTACTCCCTCAGCTGACACACGTGGATCATCTTCTCATCAAGCAACGCCTTCCAATAGCCGGACGTAAGTCGAAGACATTTTTCTGCTCACTCTCCCATCTTGTCGACCCAGCTCCCGTCCTTGCAATTTTTCTTCCCATGACAAGTCTTCATTTCCCCTTTCTCTGAGGGGCCGAACGATCGAAGGAGAAACCGCGACCGTGTTTCTCGTCGACCGGACGAGTATCGAGTATCCGTTTCCCCCGATGAGTCTCGTTGAAGGCGGCAACGCCCGCGATCGAACGGAAATCGCCCTAATTCGTAGCCCTCGGCTCACGCGAACTCCGTCGAGCGTGACGATTGAGTCTCGATCACAAGGAGGACAGTTCAATACACAGTTCGTGGACCGCGCGAACGAAACCGGTTCTCCGGTGTCCCTTTTCCCGCTATTCGTCGGCAAACAATTCCTTGTATGTTCGCTTGTTTGTTTACGCCAGTTTAAGCGACGGGTGGTGGTGCTTGATATGAGGACCGACAGACCGGGCGCCCGGTGGTCCGGTCGAAACAAATGAGGGACATTTCTCTCGAAAGCTTGTGCTTCACTTGCCAGGCGCTGGCTAACTGAAAATCCGACGGAACAGAGGACATACTGCAATGGCTTTGAGCTCGCGTTCCCATGTTGTCGCGTCTCGTAGTGAAACAACGATCGGCGGAGGAAGAGGCGTCGGTCTCCGCTCTTGCAGCGGCGGCTAGACGTTTGTTTGAGAAAGGAAAGAAGTTTACGACCGCTTTGCGGCCGTTTTGAGGGTGTACGTACTGTAGCACCGAAGAAGCAAAACCATCTGCTGGACGCAGCGCAACTATCCCGCGCCCGGTCCACCGACCCTCCCCGGTCGTCGTTTTTCGTCGCCCTCATTTTCCCGCGGGCGAGTCTATGCTCCCCGGTAGCACGTCATGGACAAGCAACCCTTCGTGACGACCGGAGGGATTTTCGTGTCTGTGAGCTCGCTCGTCCGCTGGCTCGCCGGTCGGCCCGTCCGTCCGTTTGTCGGCCGTACATCCATCCGTCCCTCCGTCCGGAGCTCCCGCCATCCGTCTTGATTCTGCGTCTGGTTCGAAGTGTCTGATTCCCCCATTTGTAAGTCGAACGCTCCGACGGTCGACCGCCCGGTCTGACGAGCAGCCGAACGGAGCTCGCCGGGCAGGAATACGATGAAAAAAATAGGGCAATAGTTCGAGCATTCGTTACGAGTTCGCTAACAATGGAGTACGAAAAACTAACTCATTATGTTTGCACTCGTTACAGTTCGGCGTAACTCCGACTTCAACAACAAGTACACTCTGCGAACGATCCTCGGCCAAGACGTTTTCCGTGCCGAGGAAGCCACAACTCTCTGTGCGCGAGACTGCTGCGGTCCAGACCGGGCGTTCCATATGAACATTGTTGATCTTCACGGTAGACCTGTTATAGCGTTGGAACGTCCTCCGTGGCTCAACGTCTGCTGCTGCTGTCCGGTGCTTCCAATCTGTCAGCAGGTGAGTTATGAATTTCAAGGGTTCATCAGCTCGACGATTCTGGCTTTTGTATACGGTGGGCACGGGACGGGATGGACGAATGCGATAGTGGATAAACGTCCGTCTGCACGTATCCCCTCGGAATCGGGGAGAGTGTCCGGGGCTGATGCGTCTCGATGAAGCCATTCAGGGAGCCGAAGTAGTCGGGGAAGACAGCGGAGCAGACGAACACCTAGGTCAGGCTCGTCCCGTCTCCGGCTGATTAGTGCGCGCCATCCGTGGAGTTAATACAGTGTAGCTCGTGATGGATCGCTCCGTTGCTCCGTCCATCGTCCGAGGGCCAAGTCGCGATCCAAGCAAGACAAATTGAGTCCTGCATCCCATTACGACATGTGGCTGGGTCTGTCGCCTTCCCCGCCGCCGTCCTTCCATCTACCCATCATCTTCCCTAGCAGCCGATTTTTTTCCCGCCATAGTCCCCCGCCCCCTGCTAGATGACACCACTAGATCACAGCACTGTTAAGGGAGTCGCAACAAAATCACATGGTCAGTTTGCCAAAAAGCTTGACCGTCCACCGTCTCTATTGGGTTCCCTTTTCGTCGTCGTTTCTCAATTTTCCCTCAAGTCTCTCTCCATATAATAAAACGGACGCGGCTGGGATCGTGCGGAAGATTCGGGCCCCGGGAAGAAAAACATTTTGGACCCCGTCAAAAGAGATGACCTCCGCTTTGTCCCAAAGGAGCACCGGCAACACGGGCAATGGCTCCTTCCCTCCTCGCCGGGGACTCCGGGAGCCACTCAGTCAGTTGGTCGGCAGCAGCAGCTCCTCCTCCTCCGTCCAGTAAAAACACCCAACCAGCCATCCTGCGTCATCCGCTTAAGCAGTTCTGCTTTATTTGGTTCGAGACTCGATGGCCGGGCGCCGTCCTTCGCCGCGCCGGCCGGCATCAAGCAGAGGGCGGGCCCGCGAGTGGAGGAACGAACGCAGAATTTTCGTCTGCCTCTTCTTCTTCTTCATGACCCGCATGGCTCGTGGCGTTTGCACCGTCCGGAGAGAGCCTGTTCCCCTCGACGCCTCGTTCCCTTATGCCGAAAAGCATTTCGTGATGGTAAGCAGGGAGAGTGAGGAAGCATACTCCTCGAAACTGCTGACCCCGGCTGCCCG